ACCCCTGGATGCGCTGACTAGACTCCAGTGGACGTGTTTACACTGAAGGACATTTGGGTACAAACACCTGAATGAATAGGACTCAGCATGTATGGCAGAGTGCATTGGGTTCAGTGGGGGAATGGGGGAGGCAATGGATAGGGGAGGGGGTCTGGATTTGAGTAGGAAATTTTGTATGAAATTTAAAAAGCTCAATAAAAAATATAATTACTATTATCTTTATATGCTATACATATGCCTATAAGACACATTTCAATTTAAAAATAAACATTTTTTAATTATTAACTTTTGTTTTATATGTATGCGTGTTTTTATCTGCATGTATGTAAGTGTACCACATGTGTGTGATGCCTGCCAAGGTCAGAAAAGGGTGTTGGATCCCCTGGAAATGGAGTGACAGACAATTAGCCATCAGGTGACTGAACCTGGGTCTTCTGCAAGATCAGCCAACCACTGAGCCACCTCTTTAGTCCCTAAAAATGAATATTTAAAAAAACTATCTATGAGGTTCAAAATGTGGGATTTGGAATGAAAACTTCAAAATTTTAAGTAAAGCGCAGGCATTCTTTCTCTGCTTTCTGGATGCCATGATAAAGCAGTTATGGTCTCCCATCATGACAGACTGAGACATTTGAAACCATGAGCTAAAATACGTCTTTTTTTCTATTAACTTGTTTTTCTCAGATATTCAATCACAACACTAAAAATCTGATTAAAAGAGAAAATAAGTACTGGACAAGTGGGTCACTGCTGAGACCATTCCTGATAATGTGGTTCAGAAGCCTTTGAGGGATTTGTAGGAGGAACTTGGAAAAGTTTGGAGATATGAGCTAAAAAAGTTCTAGAATGGTCTAAGGAGAGCTTAATGGGCGATTGTGGTAGGAGCTTCAAAAAGTAGAACATTGATAGGAACAAGGACAGAAAATCACACTTGTGAAATTTGGGGTGGGAAAGAATATTGTGCTGAGCACTGGACTAGCATGGATATTGTATCTGGGTAAAGACCCTGTCTACATTTTGTCCATGACCTAAGACTTTATGAGAAGCTGAGTTTAAAGGTAATGGACTAATTAATTTGGCAGAGGAACTGTCACTAGAGACTTTCAGCCATGTTATAGGGAGAATTGAGAGCAAAAGGATTTGGAAAACTCAGTTTGTCCAGAAAAGAAGTGCATGTAAAGTTCTGAAAACAAGAAGAGATTAAGGACATTAAAAAGAAGCTGAATATTTTACACACCTTGCCATCACCTGTATAATGCTGGCTTTGCAGATATACAGAATGCAAAAGTTACAGGGGCATAGAAATGCAACACAATTTTTAAAAGAAAACCTCAAAAAATAAGCAAAGTATGAAGGTTGGAAAGAATGCAGGTAGCCTCTGAGAAATCAAAGAGGTGAAGCCAAAGACATAATAGAGCCTCTAGGAAATGACATCTGCCGGAAACATGAACCATCTGATGTGAAAAACTGAAGGTGGGAGCAAAGCAATCCCAAGAGGGTATGTGGGCTACAACTGGCAAAGCTATAGGGTCAAGAATGCTGAGCCTGTTGGCTCTCACATCATGACATCACATGCCTCAGATGTCTGACATGGCTCTACAGAATTTAATGTTTGCTCTGCTGGGTTTTTCTTTTTGTGTTTGTTTGCTTTTGTCTTATACCTGTTTTCTATTCCTCCATTCCTTCCTATTAGAAGGGAAATTTTTGCTGTGTGACATTGTAATTTGGAAATATGTCATTTTCTTATTGCTATTAAAGAGGCTTACAGCCAAGAGTTTGTCTTGAGTCTCAGAGGAGACACTGAATTTGGATTTTTGAACAATGTTGGAATTGTTAAGACTAAGGGGAATTTTACAGATGGACTGAATGAATTTCGCATTATGAGACAGACCTTTTGGGGGCCAGGGGTGGAAGGTTATGGTTTAAAGAAATGTTCTGGGAATCAAGCTGACAAGGGGTAAGTAGACATGTAGTGGTTAATCTTAACTGTCAACTTCACTTGTCTGAGAAGCACCTAGTAATATAAAACACACCTCTGGATGTGTCTGTGAGGGTGTTTCACAAAAGAAATAACTAGAGGGAAGGCCTGCCCTGAATGCAGGCAGTACCATCCCATAGGCTATAGGCTGAGACAGGAAAAAAGGTGGGGGAAAGGAGAAAGCCTGCAGATACAGGTATTCTCTCTACTTTCTGGCCACCATGATGTGAGCTGCTCCACTCCACCATGCCCTCCCAACCACAATGGACTGTAACCATGAACCAAAATAAATCTTTCTTCCCTGAGAAAGAATAAATAAAAAATAAAAGGTCAAACAATTGTCTATTAGCAAAGAATAGTGGTTATAGACTAAGAAGTTTCTTACCACCCAGAAAACAAGGATTTTGTGTAATATTCATAAATAAACTCGTAAATTATTTAAGCAATCTTATTTTTCTTCCCTCTACTTGTTTCAAATATGCATGTTTTTCTTTTAATTAGAGTATAAGTTCCTCAAAACTTAAGCATTTAGAGGAAAACGATATGCTGTATGTACTTTACCCACACATAATCTGGAAAAATATGTCTGCATTTGTATATAGATGCAAATATATAAAACAAAGAGAAAACAAGTGCTCAGAAGATGGTGTGCATAGAAATGATAAAGCAAATGAAGTCAAATACTAACAAATGAGTCCAGATGAAGGGTAAGTATATGGGGGTTCTTTGTACTATTCTTTGTACTATGCAAAATTTTTGTAAGTTTGAAAGCATTTTCAAGTAGAAAAAAATAATCAAACAGATGTAAATCCTTCAAAGAAATAACATGCTTTATAGCTCTCCTTCCATCCAACCCCCCTCCCTTACCGGCCCCTACAATACACAAAAGCATAAAGAACATCTCCATAAGCTCTGAATCTTAGTAAAAAGTTATACTAAATATATGTTAATGAAGAAATCAGTCAGGGTGAATAAAAGAAACTTTTAAGCACTTATATTAAGCAAATACCTACTAACCTTGGTTTCTTTAAGGGAACAAGGTGGGCTGGTATAGGTCAGGGCAAAATGTATGACTACCATGTATCAAACTCTGGGTTCCTCTCAGGACAACAAAAATAAGACAAGCAACAAAAAAATAGTCAAGGTTTCAGGAAGATATATTACATCCAAATAATAATAGCTCCAGCATCTGGCAGTTATTAATGACTACTGCTTAATAACTGTTATTGGCCAGTCATGGCGGCGCATGCATTCAGGAGACAGAGGCAGGCATATATATCTGTGAGATTGAGGCCATCCTGGCCTACATAGCAAGTTCTAGGTCAGCCAGAGCTACATAGTAAGACTCTGACTCAAAATACAAAAAACCAAACCATACCAAAATAAAAAAACCCAAATTTTTGCTGGACTGACTTGAAACATAAATTTTGGGAGAGAGGGTGGTCTTTCAAATCTCTGGTTCATTTTGTATCACTCCTACTTCCATCACCTGGGGACTTTTTTCACCCTTCTCATCCTTGTCACAAAGCAAGCAGGAGGCTAGTTTTCTAGGACTCCACATATACTGCTTGAGCTGTTGGTCAATATATCTGTAATCCTGAGATACATATCTATGCTTCCATGTGTTCTCAATTAAGAAAGGTAGTAAGACCCCATTCCACACCCAAACCAAAGGCTGATATGAATATTCTGTTTAAAAATTAGAGGCAGGGGGCTAGAAGAAGCAATAACCAACAGTTTGTTTTAAACAGGGGAAACTGACGTTTTTATGAAGACAAAAGTTAGATAAATAACACAGTAACTCTTTTGTGGACTAGTTGTTATTAGTAGGAAATTAGATGAAATTTCATATTAACTAAACTAACTTGTACTGTTCTATAAAGAAAGAGAAAACATTAAAATGTCAAAACTGCAGCCCCTTGGTTCTGTAACAAATCTTGTGTGTTTCTGACAGTACTTAGCCATGAAAGGCCATTCACCTAGCACATGTAAAAGCATCGACTCTGTAGCCTCAGGCAAAACCCCAGCTCTACCACATACTGGCTTTTGGCAAGTGACTTATCCCCTTGGGGCTCCAGTTTTCTAGTGTGCAAATGGGAATTATAGTACCTCCTTGAGAACTGTGAGGACAAAAGCTCTACTGTAGAGTGCATAGAGTAAGTAGCACGTGGAGATGAGACATTACTTACATTTTCTGAATTTCAGTCTTCCTTGTTAAAAATATGCAACCATAACATGTAATAAAACTTATTAAAAGTTTTAACTGTAATAACTGTGCATCTAACAAGCATTCATAATTACCTAACTCCTGAGTTATGACAAACATGTTTATTCAGAAATAAAGCTTAGTATTTTACTATACAACTAAGACTATGTCCAATCATGTACCTCAAGATAAGATGATTTCTAACAGATCAAAGACCAGATGCGATTGGTTGTCACATTTCTGAGAGTGCATGGTAATTTGTCTCACTGCAACACCACACCAGGGTTAAACCACGATGAGACTTAGCACAAGTTAAAATATAAAACCTAGAAGAGCTCAAAGCTATGGGTAAATACTACAATAATCCTCTAAAAGTCTAAAACCAGTTAGGAAAAACCATATGCTGACATATGCTGAACTGTTTTAAAATATAAACTATATTAATATTGCATTTATATTTTAAAACAATAGTTTCAATTATACCAAATGGTAAAACTATATAGTTTTGTATTATCTTTTTTCTAAGAAACAGTTTAGCAACTGAAATTTGAAACTACTGGAGTGTTCTAGTAAATAAAAAATACTTTAACTTTATAAATTTTATAAAAACTGAACTCTTATAAGTTTATCTAACATAAAAAGAAGTAGAAGTAAAGCTAAAATTCTACATGAAAGTATACTTGTGCTGCAAACTGTAATGAAATTAATGAGAATGACAAATGAGTCAGAAATATACTTTATACATATTATTTATGTTTTTTTTTAAAAATACTCAACTCAAAATAAAGTTAAAATTAAAGAAGTCAAACAAAATACCTTTCATAAATGGTTTTTAATGTCATTTGATCTGGAACACCTTCAGTCTCTTCCAAATACAATATGAGCCATGAAGTCCGGTACGGCCACTGCTCAGTAAGGTTGATCCAGCTGGCAAGTCTGTCCCAGTTGAAACTAATCTGATTAGCCCTTAGTAATCGCCCTTTAAGGAATAAAATAAACATTTTAAAATTAATAAAGTAATATTATGCTACGTAAGACATTTAGCATATTCATGAACAATTTAACTTTTAAATTTAAAAAAATTGTCATTTGGTTATAATACAAATTCAAATCTAATATTTATATGGTTTCTAAAATCCAGAATTTAAAGATTCAGAAAGGGCACAGTGGCAGACACTGGTAATCCTAGCACACAGGAGGTAAAGTAGGAGTACTGCAAGTCCAAGGCCCGTCTAGGCTACACAGAGAGATCCTATCTCAACTAGAAATAAACAAAAAGTCAAAGGTATTTAAATGATTCTATTTAGTTTTAAAGGTAATCTTCTGTTTTATTTTATATTGATGCAAGTTCCTTTTTTGAACACAGATATACAAGCAAAAAGTCTTTCCAATCATGTTTTAGTCTCCATGCTGCCTACAAGCATACAGCAAAACATTAACTTACCCATGGCAGTCCTCAATACTCTGAAATACTATCTGCTAAGAGCCTACCAATTGAACTTAAAGAGATCCAAATATATTGCTCCATGTTTGCTTTAATACAAGTGAATGTGAACCCAATACACTTCACTTTTTATTTACTAAGGGCAGAAGATTATGTCAGTAACCTACCAAATGAGATATAATGTTTCTAAAATTTGTTATTCACATGTTGAATAAATGACCCTGTCTATTTATGAGGTATTCTGAGGACTAACTCAGTATTCTACCACTGGGCATGCTTACACGTTACAATCCTCAAACTTTCTAAATCAATGCTTCCTTTCCTCTTGACTTGGTAACGATTATAAAATACTGGGTTTGCTTTTTAATTTAAAATATTATCAATTTTACATGATGATGATCAGTTTAGTATGCATCTAGTCTAACAAATATACTAGTCTAACAGACTCTTAATAGATCCTTATATTTACAGACAAGTACACCATTCACCACTCATCAACGAAGCTTCTTTTTGCAACAGACGGAGACTATTACAGAGTTCCACAACTAGTCATACACAGAGAATAAGTGTCTGAGAGATGCCCGTCCTTAAGTAACACATCTACAGTAGAACCTCTACACCTAAAGCTCATGGAACATAGTGGAACAGGGTGTAGAAAGAAGACTAACACATTCCTCGCTCACCAGAGAAGCTTCCTCACGCAACAGAGTGTGATGCACACAGAAGGCCACAACTGGCCAAGGTGTAGAGAATAAGAGACCATAGAGGGCATGTCCCTGGAAAGGACTCCCATATTAAACCTCACCCACCCATGGCTCAGGGACCATTGCAGAAGAGAGGGCAGAAAGATTGTAAGAGCATGAACAAAAGGAAACGGAGGCTTTCAGGCCACTGGGAACTTGCTCATATGAACTTACAGCAATGGTAACAGCATGCACAAGACCCATGTAGAGTCAATCAGAAAAAAAAAAAAATACAGTGTAGAACTGGGGAAATGGGCAGCAGGCCCCAACCTTAACTGAGGAACTATTGGCAACTGATTACTGCTGGGTAAGGGAGAGCCGATTTTCTTTACGGGAGTGACTCTAGATAGGCTAACTAGATTCCAGTGGATGAACTTGCACCAAGGGACATCTAGGTATAAAAGTTTGACAAGGTAGGCCTTAACATATATGACAGAATGTATAAAATCTGTCATGGGGGGTATGGATGGGGGAGGGGGACCTAAATATGATTAAGATTTATTATATGAAATGCACAAAAATTCAGCAAAAATACACATTAAAAAAAAAACAGTGATGCTGGGATAAAATACTGAACAAAATAGATGATGTGATCCTAGCCTTCCTGAAAAGCCTTCACTCAGTGGAGTAGAAAACAAATCAAAAAAACAAACATAACCCTATGAAATAATCACAGGGTGTAACATGATCATGTTGACCCAGGGAGGAAAACTGGGGAAACAAACTTCCTGAGAGGCCGTAGGACAGATATACTTCCAACAGAGTATAAATAGGTTAACACTGAATTAAATAGCTAAACTCCAGAGCACAGGGATTACAGAAGTGAGCCTCCATATCCAGCTCGCTAAGTTACCTAGGCTGGCCTTGAACTCAACTCTAGCCCAGCAAGTTTTAAATTTGAGATCCTTCTGCCTCAGCTTTCCAAGTAGCTAAGATTAAAAGTCTGAACCATCAGGCCTGGTTTCAGTATCAATTATTAAATAATGTCAACTTGGGCCTCTTTCAAGTATCTGAAAATGTCTAAATAATCTAAATTCCTTCCTATGGATTTTGGAGTCGGTAAACCCTCAAATGAATTGGAGACTGGCTATCTGCTTAACACCTCCTCTTCCCACTACTCTTTGTTCCTCAAATTCCAACTAGGTTTGGCTACCAGCTGTTCTTAGAATCCCACCTCAGAACATTTATACTTTCTGTTCCTTTTACTTAAAATGCTTTTCTCAGGAAATATGTAAAGCTTGGCTCTCATTTCATTCAGGCCTCTTATTCATTCACAACGGAATCCCAGATGTTGTTCTGGGTACAGCAATAAGCTAGGTAATTAAAAAAAAAAAAAAAAAAAAAAAAAAAAAAAAAAAAAAAAAAATCCCTGCCATGAGGGTTTCACATTCGACTGAGAGGAGATAGACAATGAAAGAAAGTGGCAGCATGTGTTAGAAGATGGCTGGTCCATGGAGTAAAATGGAGCAGGGAAAAAGAGAAAACAGGGAATAATAACAAAGGAGGAAATGTCATTTCATATAAGATGTGTGGGAGACTCACTGAAAAGCTGACATTTAAACAAAGACTTAAGAAAAGAGAAAATCTATTGTTCATATAGCTGAAGAATAATTATTAATGGTGGAGTTTGTGAAAACTGGGCTCCAAGAACTGTGGCCAAAGGCATTCCAATGTTAAATACAGGAGGAGGTAAGTACTGGCTGCTAACAGTTAAGAGGAAAATCCAGTAAGTGCAGGGCTCTGAAAACCAAAGGAGTAAAGCTTTTCAAGAAGTGATCAAACACACTGTCACATGCTGCTTGTGGGGTCAAGTAAGACGAGGACCTGGCCATTGGACTTTGTAACATGGAAGCCACTAGTGACCTTGAAATGCTATTTTGCTGAAGTACTGAGTAAGGGCATTGGAGAAAGTTTGAAAGGATTACCAAGAGAAGAGTATGAGAAATGGACAGTGGATTCTTTCAAGGAGCTCTACTGAGAAGGAGCAGTAGCTAGAGGCAGCACTAGGGTCATCTTCGAGTGAGGAAGGGGTTCTGTCTCCATCTCCCATTTATTCTTCTCATGGAACTTATCCTCATGTGACATTGTATCTTTCAGTCTTCCTACTGTGAAGGTCTTTATCTTGTTCACTGTTTGATCTCTACAATGTCCAGACCATTTCTTGGCATACTGCAGACAGTTATTACACACTGTTAACGAATTTATTAAATGACGATTTCAGTGTTACTGATAATATAACCAAACAGTTCCATTGTCAAACAAATCCAGTATTTTAAGTTTGAAATCTTACTTAAAGGGATTTAACTATCAAAAAATTTTATTAGATACAGCCTCACCTATAATACAGTTTATATGATAAGCCTTAAAATGAAATTCTAGTTGAGAGTCAACACTCAGTAATATTACAAAGTACCAAGCAATACCATGCAAAGTAAGAACCATATTCTACAAGCTAAATTACAAGTATTCAGATGACTGCCTAATGCTAATTAGTGAGTCTTAACATAGTGAAAAGCAGAATTCCATGAAGAGAATTCAGGCATAGGACAATAATCTCCAATTTTGGTATAAACATTTTAAATATATTTTATTTATTATTTTTATTTTTATGTGTATGAGTGTTATACCTGCATGTAGGTAAGTACACCCATGTCATGCAACACCTGCAGAGGACAGAAGAGGCTGTCAGATCCCCTGGAACTGGAGCTAAGGACAGTTGTTAGCTGCCATGTGGGTGCTGGGATTCAAACCTGGGTCTTCTGCAAGAACAGTCGGTATTTTTTTGTTTTTTTGGTCTTTTTGAGACAGGGTCTCCCTGCAGCCCTAGCTGGCCTGCATTCACTATGGAGATCAGGCTGGCCTCGAACTCACAGAGATCCACTTGCCTCCGCCTCCCAAGTGCCAGGATTAAAGGCATGTGTCACCACTCCTGACATATGAACAGTCAGTGTTCTTAACCACTGAGCCATCTCTCCAGCCCCTTGGTATAAACATTTCTTATTCAAAATATCATACAAAAACTAAAACAACCTAGCAATATAGAAAAATCTGAATTTCAACACCTTAAATTTTAATTATTTTCACTTATGTAAATTTATCTTAAATATGAAGTAAAATATTTTTTATGATGAATTCTTTTTTTAAATTTTATTTATTATTTTTATTTTATGTGTATGCATGTATTGCTTGCACGTGGGTAAGTGCACCCGTGTCGTGCAATGCCCGCAGAGGTCAGAAACTGGAGTTATGGACAGTTGTTAGCTGCCATGTGGGTGCTGGGATTCAAACCTGGGTCTTCTGCAAGAACAACCAGTGTTCTTAACTGCTGAGCCATCTGTCTAGCCCCAAAGTAAAATATTTTTGAAATCATGAAATTTTAAAATAAGTGTCAAAATGATACCTGATTTTTATTGTCAACTAATACTGACTTCTACTTAACAGAGACAAAGCTGATACTCAGTAATACAAACATACAAAACAAAAAATATTCCTTCATTTCCAAATTTAAATTGCTTTGTTAACTCTAACGTTTATTGTGATGGCTGGCAGTGTAAGTCAATGGTAGAATATTCACCTAGCTTATGGAAGGCCCTCAGTTCAATGCCTAGTACTTCAAAAAATATAAATAAAATAAAATTTATTATCTACCATAGAAAGTGAGAAAAAAAGTCACCTGTTACAGAAACAATATTAAGTAATCGCCTCATGGTCTGAGGGCTGATGTCACTGAACCAGTCTTCAGTAACCAGCAGCTTTGTGAGATCAAAGGACATCTGACGAGTGATTGTCCTCTGCATCTGTCTTCTGCGGTAAGTATCCTAAAACAGAGCACCAGCAGTGAGAGAGAACCCCCTCTTCAAGTTTGAGAACATCAAGCTTTTGAGAAGTTAATATATGCTTATAAGAACAACAAAGTTCACAATAAAATAGAAGATCACACGCTGATGAAAGTATTAGCACTACTGGGGCAGAACCTTTACAAAGCAGTTATAAAGTTGTATTGGTAGCAACTGCATCATGCATGCCAATTTAGAGCTGTAGAGCTAGGGAAAGCTCAATGTCTTTCAGATGAGAAGAGAGCAGAACTACATAGAATCATAGTCAAACTCTCCAAAGGCTTAGTATGTAGAGGAACCCTAAAATAATAAGTAAATAAACTCCTATCTCGTTCTAAGGATTCAGCATTTTTATTTTTAGGTTATCTTAAAGTGTGTAACCATTTCCTCACAAGCACAATCACTCTTAATTTTCCTCACCTCTTCTTAAGAACTAAAGGCACTCTGCAGAGTAAGTAGAAGTGGATAAGAAATTCCATCTCATGCCAGGAGTGGTAAAGCACGCCATTAGTCCCCACACTTGGGAGGCAGAGGCAGGCCATCTCTGTGAGTTCAAGGTCAGCCTGGTCTACATAGCAAGCTCCAGGCTAGCCAGGGCTACGGGGAGCTCCTGTCTCTAAAGAAGAAAAATTCCATCTCCTAAGAGGAAAAACAAGCACAACAAAGGCATGTCCTCCTCTGAGTCTCAAGCACTGGAAAGGTGGATGCAATCAAAGGAAACCAAGAGCCCTAACTCCCAGGAGAGAAATTCAAAATGCTAAGTCACCATGCCTCTGAACTTAGCTCTATTACTTGTCATTCATATTAACTTTACATCCACATCTGTAAAGCATATAGGCACAAGCCAAAGAAACATTTTTAAGTAAAATGTCAAACAAAAAAATAATAGGAAGGAAGGAATGAACAAACGAAGGAATGAAGGAAGGAAAAAAAAAAAAAGCCAGGCATGGTAGTGCATGCCTTTAATCCCAGCAGGGACAGGCAGATCTCTGTGAGTTCTAGGCCAGCCTGGTATAAATAGTAAGTTCCAGCAAGAGCTACATAGTGAAACCATCTCAAATGGAGGCCAGAAAGATAGCTCACCAGTTGAGAACATTGGCTGCTGTTGCAGAGCAGTTTTGGTTCCCAGCACCTACATGGCAGCTAACAACCATCTGTAACTCCAGTTCCAAGGAATCCAACACCCTCTTCCAGCCACAATAGGTATTGCACACATGTGGTGTACTTACATACATTCGGGCAAAACACTCAGACACATTAAATTTTAAAAAGTTTTGAGGCTACAATGTCCAAAGTTAATGGTAGAAAAAAAAAAAAAAAAAAAAAAGAAGAAGAAGAAACAGTGTAGATAAGCCCATGTTAACTAACCCTAAGTGACAGAAACATAGATGGATACACACTATATGTTTTTGCTCCATACAAACAAGAGGTAGATGAACAGAAACAAGTAAAGCATTGGATGGAGAAACTAAAGGAGACTGGGGAAGGGCCCAGAATCACATGTGGTTTTAGAGAGATGCCTTTCAAATGTTAGGAAAGTAGGAAGACCATAAGAAAATTAAGTCAGGTGTTTTCTCAGTACAAACCTTTCTTAACACCTACAGTAGCAACAGGCATAATTTAACCTGTTCAGGAATCAATGTAAAGTTGCAATCAGTTGGTGAACTATAACATCTCATTGGTCTAGGACCAGTGTCAGCACCTGGGCTGAGAAAAGCCTGCAGACGACAGAGACTGAATCCTAGTTTAAGGCTGTTACTGCTCTAGGTTTAAGTATTCCCTGAAACAGCTCAAGTTAGAAAATAATTCAATTCTAACACTCCTTTGAAGAATTTAATGTATTATTTACAAAAGACTAGTTAGGTGGCATTAACCTAATTTTATCTGAATAACTGCAATACAAAAAAAAAAAAAAACACAGCAAAAAACACATCAGAGCTAGGGAATAGCTAAGTGGAAGAACACTTGCCTAGTATGCATAAGGCTTTGGGTTTAATCCCTAGCATGACAAGGAAAAATAAATCAAGTAATTAAATTAAGTTAATGATATCTTACCCGTCTATTGAGGGCTGTCTTGCTACCAAGTTTTGTCATTTCTCCAAGACTGTTTTGTGAAACTCTTCTGTCAGCATCCTCCTGTATTCCTAAAAGAGTATAACAGGATAGCACTATTTGCAGAGAGTTGTTTTATGTGATATAAAGAAATATAAAATATCAACAATATCTTTCAAAGTAAACAGAGACACTTTTGTTTCAAAGCCAGGTATGGTGGTACACGCCTTTAATCCCAGCACTTGGGAGGCAGAGGCAGGCAGCTCTTTGTGAGTTTGAGGCCAGCCTGGTTTACATAGTGAGTTCCAGGACAGCAGGGGCTACAGAGAGACCCTGTCTCAAAAAGACAAAAAAAAGAAAAAAAAAAAGTTTCAAAACGACTTCAAACTCAAGTACTTTAGAAGCTTGATATCTACCTGTGGTATCCGAGCATGAAATGTCCCCATTTGTTGTTGAAGTTACAAGAAATTTTCTTGCATTGCTAAGTCCACGACTATTAAGGAAAACAGGCAAATGAACTATATTGCGCATGTAGTCATGTCCATTTATATTGGAATCCCGAAGCACACTATTGAGGTTCTGGTTGATGGCTTTTATGATAATATGTGGATCACTTGCAAAAATGGCAATAAAAGGGCCTTTTGAAAACAGAACTCTGACCTGTGATAGAAGAAATGTATGGTTGGACACAAATTTCTAATTATATAAAATATTATCTTTTTAAAATCTGTGCTATACTTTCCTGGTTATATTTTTGAATAACATTCATTTTTCAACAAAATGTATCCTCTATGAAAATAAATTTTACTGATGGCTCAATCTCAAGTTGCTGTCATTTATCAATGTCAGAATCTGAAAAGAAAACTATAAATGTAGTTTCCTTTTCAGATACCTATAGTCTAAGCAATAGGTAACATCACATACAACACAATTACTGTGAATACTGTGAGTGCTGGGCACACTCAGCTCTGCCCACAGTTCACCAGTGTTATTTACAACACATCTTAGATTGCCTGTGATCTGCCCTTTTTAATAAAACTCTACAAATTCTATGGGTCCCCTACAGTATCTCTGAATACTCTGGGGCTTAAGAAATACTCCATTTGGTTTTCTCCTAAACTGCCATCAAGATGAAATTTTTTTCATCAAGATGAATGTCTTTATGATGAAACATTTGCTCCTGCTATATTTCTGCATGAAAAAGTTTTTATAAGAGAAATTCAAAAGAGAAACCCATGTTTATTAAATAAAAAGCAGTTTCTATTCCACTTGAGCTATTTTGTGGTCCTGCATCTGTATGTGGCCACAACAACAAGTTTCAAGACAGTGGAAACGTACTGTATCTAGCATCTGAAGGACTTTGTCTTGCTCACAGGCATCTAACCCATCAATGATAACCACCAGCCTTGTCTGATTCTGAGTGAAGCTGTCAATGGTTTTTGCCATCTTGGCCATCAATTCCACTTCACACTTCAGGACCTGCATGGAGAACCACAGAATACAAAAGAGTTAAATGTATTTCTTTAAAAGCACAAAAGAAGCCTGGCTCCTTTAACCAGAGCACTTAAGAGGCAGGGGCAGGCAGATCTCCATGAAATCGAGGTCAACCTGGTCTACATAGTGAGTTTCAGGCCAGCTGGGACAACAGGGAAACCTTGCCTCAAAATGACAAAAAAAATAAAATAAATAAGTCATCTAGCCAGAGGAAGAGAAATCCAAAGTTCTTGTTGCTAGCTGTGGTTACAGTTAAAACTATAATGAGTGTTTTAGTTTACAGAATGACTACATATAAATCACAGCAGTTCAGCCTCAGACTACCAAGAACTAGACACTTACAGAACTTTAAAAGGACAAACTGGGTTGAGGGATTTACTTGCTAAAATCACAGACTCTGAATAACAAAAAACTTAGATTTGAATTCAAACCAAAAGATCTGCTCATTTTTACACTACTGTTGGCTCTTTGGTAGCATCCAACCTTGATCAAAGGAAGCATTACAGAAGTTGATAAATACCCTTTTAGTTCAAAAAAGTATGGTCCTGCTTCATGTTTTGATGATTTAATTTCCAATTAAAAAAAAAAATCTTACTTTAAGGTACAATGGCACACACCTTTAATCCCAGCACTCAGGAGGCAGAGGCAGGCAGATCTCTGTGAGTTCCAGGACAGCTGGGGCTATAGGGAGACTCTGTCTCAAAAAAAAAAAAAAAAAAAAAAAAAAAAATCAAAAAAAGTGTAACTGACATGATAAAAAAGTGATAAAGTAGAATTATATAAAATGTTCAGTCAAAACCCACAAAAGGAAGACCAAAAACAAGAACAAGGCACAAGGGCAATAAGTATAAACAGTACCAATTATGTAAGATATGACTCCAGCTCCACGTCTATCAATAATCATTCTGAATATCCATGGTCTAAATGCAGCAATTAAAAGACAGATTATCAGGGTGGATCAGAAAACAAAATCGGGATGAACAAATGTCCTAGTGGTTAAGAGCACTTACTGTCTGTCCTTCTAGAGGACCCAGGTTCAGTTCCCGGCACCAAAACCAAATTGTTCACAACCACCTATAACTTAAGTTCCCAGGGATCTGGCCTCTGTGGGCACCTTTCATACATGTAGTAAAACTCACACAGGCACATACATACACATAAATAAAAATAAATCTTTTTTAAAAAGGAGTGAAAAAGGAGAGACCCAATTATTAAAGATGAAGGGTAAAGGATAGAGAACAATGACACTATAATACCTAACAGAAGGCCAAAATCCAGAACACTGATTACACCAAGTGAAGGCAAAGATGTAGAACAGTAAGAACTCACACTCACTGCTGGGCAACACAAAATGGTATAACCACTTTAGAAGATAGTCCAGTGGTAAGAGGGAGTGTTGCTTAGCTTTTTAAGATGGGATCTTGGTATGCTGCATCTCCAGAATAGCTAGAATTACAAGCATGCACCACCACATCCAGTCTAATTTGATAGTTTTTAATCAAAACTAAATATATGCTTACCATGAGATCCAGCAATCATACTCTTTGGCATTTACTCAAAATAGCTAAAAATTTATGTCTACACAAAAATCTGAACACAGATATTTACAGCAGTTTTATTCATAACTGCTTAAACTTAAAGCAACAAAGATGCCTTTCAATAGGTGAATTAATAAATGAAGCTATACATCCAGGCAACAATATTATTCAGACCTAAAAAGAAATGGGCCTTTAAGCTATAAAAGGAATATAAATGTATACTATGGAATGAAAGAAGCTAGTATGAAAAGGCTACCTACTGCATGATTTCAACTACATGACATTCTGAAGACGACAGCTCCCGAAATAGTAAAAATACCAGTATTTGACTGGGGTTGGAGGAGACAGGACTAAGATGTGAAGCAGCGGCTTTCATGGCAGTGAAAATACTCTGTATAACACTAAAATGATGGATATGTCATCATGCATTTGTCGAAACCCATAGAATGTACAGAACAGGAATGACCCTAATGTGAACTTCAGACACTGAGCATGACTATGATGGATCACTGTGGCTCATCAACAGCAACAGATGTACTACTCTGGTAATGGATTAAGGTAACAGAGAGTACACATGTGGGAGCACAGATACATGGGGTATCTCTGAATTTTCCTACAAACATAAAACATCTTTTAAACTAGTCTCAAAAAACAAATAATAAACTAATTGATAACTAAATAAATAAACCAATTAAAATAAACTAAATACAACAGACCTGGGGATATAGCTGAGTGGTAGAGTACTTACCTAGCATGCACAAGGCCCTGGCTTCAGTCCTCAGCACTGAGAAAAGAAACAAAAAACCCAAAACCCTAAATGTACCCCTTTAACATCTAGAGAGCGTCTGTTAAAGCCAAAGTGAGCATGCTGGTGGTAGCATATCCACATTTCAGCTTTTTTCTAATAGTGAATGCTTACTTTCATGAATCCTTCACTTTTCAATTTGTGCATCTTGGAGGCAGCATTATGAAGACGTTTTCTCTGAGAATTCAGGAGAGAGTCCAGCACTTGCCACCATGTACGGCAGTTGAGCACAAAGGCCAACCCCACTATAGATGCAATTGCTATGAGAACAGCATTCACTGTCAGGTGTTTTGGGTCAACTCTGAATATAGCCAAAAGAGTAATTCCAGCAATAATGCAGCCCAAAATAAAAAGAAAGATGATAAAAGATGGGAGACAACATGTTTTTTTCCATTTCTTTTTGCCTGTAATAGAACAAATGGTATTAACAATTATTACTATAGCATGTACCCAGAAGACCCTAATCATAGTTAACAGCATCTGATGACATTGGGGTTCAATTCACGTTTCCATGAAAATGAACACTCATTCCTTTCCTCACCCCTAGACACACACAAGGAAGAAAGGAAATCCTACCCTGAGTATCTTCAGTCTTAAATACTCGAAAAAGCCTGGTAGCCAAAAAGCCAAATTCTCTCTCACAAGCATCCGAGAGGGTGGCAATCATTTCAGCCAAGGAAGTTTCTCCACCTACACTGGACAGCCTATTGTAATCTGTAAACAAAAACCTTGGGGAAAAGACCAAGCAAGATATTACTCAGCTATCCAATACAAGAAATAACATGTCATTGTCGTAAGATTTACTTTATATTTTCTTGATATTCTTTTCAAAATAATGCTTTTAAATTTCCAAGGGAGGAGTGCAGAATGTACAATTACTTATCTTCTACTTTGAACATGTTATAGACTCTCTTATGAAAAAAAGCAAATGTGTATGAAATAACTATGACCTAGGTCAAGAGGAGAAAGTGATGGCAGAGCAGTGGTCTCAGAAGGTCTCTGTATACATGGCACTCCATGCCAGGGTGTAGGTAAGACAGTGGCACAAGGAGAGTGCTCTGGTTCCAAATGAAGAGATTAGAACATGAGAAAATATTAACTACAAACAACAAGAATTTCAAGCCCAGTAGTATCATTTAAAAACAAGTTTTCTAGTGTCTTATTTTAGTTACAGCTTTAACATATACCAAAGATTTAGAAATAGTGGTAAAATATTCTTTTCACAATTGCTCTTCCAAAATTACCGAATAATTTATACTCTGAGTCTCTGAATTATTTATTTCTACATTAGCTCATTCTTCTCCTTCCATCTCTAAATTAAATTTTCACCTCAATTCAGTAGTAAAACATTGTCTTAAAATTATAATCTGGGGGCTGGAGAGATGGCTCAGAGGTTAAGAACACTGGTTGTTCTTGCAGAAGATTTGGGTTCGAATCCCAGCACCCACATAGCAGCTAACAACTGTCCGTAACTCCAGTCCCAGGGGATCCAACAGCCTCTTCTGACCTCCATGGGCATTGCGCAACATGGGTGTACTTACCTACATGCAGGCAATACACACATACACAGAAAATAAAAATAATAAATAAAAATGTTTTTAAAAAGTTAAACCCTCATTCACTGCTGGAGGCCCGGTTATACCACTCCTTGGCATATATCGAAAGGACTCATTCTATTGTAGAGACACTTGTACAACCATGTTTGTTGCTACTCTTTTCACAATAGCTAAGAGATGGAAGCAACCTAAGTGCCCCTCAACTGACGAGTGGTGAACAAAAATGTGGTCTATTTACACAATTGAGTTCTATTCAGTAGTAAAGAAAGATGAAATAATGAAATTTGCAGGTAAATGGATGGATCTAGAAACTGTTATACTGAGTGAAGTAACACAATCTCAGAGAAAAAATCGACATATGTTCTCCCTCATATGTGGATCCTAGCACCAAATCCTTTTAAATTCCAGGTCCTTTTAATAAGATGATGCTATACAGCAGTCCCTTTTGCATGAAATAACTACCATCATCACGATTTCAGCTGAGCCTGGTCACTAAACATCGTCACGATTGTGCTTGTTGACGGTTGTGCTCATTCATTAAAAGAGTGCCAAGCAGGGTCACTGCACCCTCATCTGGATATCCAGCCACTCTTCCCAGCCAACTAGTCCAGCCTTGGTAGACAAAAGAAAAATGAGGAAGAACCCAAGAGAGGGATGCTTTTGGAAGCCCTTGTCAAGAAACTCCAATGGACTCTCATATGAATATCTGAAAATTGCCCTCTTCTGACTTTTTTCTTATTCCCTGTCTAGAACTTGTAATGCTAATTACTCTTGCCTTTACTTCTCCTTCACATCTCCCATTCATGATTCAAGGACTTTTCTTTTCCTCCTAGAGACAAGAGTTATGCAATTTGGGAATCTTTTTAGATAGACCCACTTAAGGGGTACCCCACTTGTCTCACCCTGCATCCCTGTTCAGCATGGAAGAAGCCAGAGAGGTCTGTGTCCCTATTCCCTATTGGGAATTTGGGTAACCCCTTCAGAGGATGGCATGGTAAGAATAGGAGGTAGGAATTGGCTAGGCAGTTAGGGTAAAAAGACCCCAAAGAAATGTAGCCAGTTTCTTGGCTAAAAGTCAAAATGTCCTTAGGCCTGTTAGCAACATACTTTGTTCCAAGGCCAAAAAATGTCAAAAGTGTTTGGGAGCTTGTATCTAATCCTTAAAAGATTTTAGGGTTACCTCTTCAGAGGGGGGAATGTTGGAGGGGAGGGAGTGGGCATGGATTTGATCAAAACATCCTATGTGCATGTATGAAATTTTCAATAAAGTTTTCGTAAAAATTTTTTTTAAAGTTAAAAAAAAAATTATAATCTGGGCCAGGTGGTGCATGTGGGTAGTACACATCTTTATTTCCTGTGCTCCATAGACAGAGGTAGGTGGATCTCTGTGAGATCAAGGCCAGCCTGATCTACATAGCAAGTTCCAGGACAGCCGGGGCTACAGGAAAACCATCCAAAATTACAATCTGGAATCACACTGTACTATAGTGTGTGGTCCTAACTGACACTATTTTAATTGTTCTAACTTTTTTAAATGTTTATTTTTATTTTATATGTATGAGTGTTTTGCCTGCATGTCTATAAATTCATCATAAGAGTGTAATGAATGTGGATGTGAGAAGAGGGCATTAAATCCCCTGGAATTGGAGTTACAGACAGTTGTTAGCTTTCATGTGAGTGCTGGGAACTGAACCAAGGTTTTCTGCAAGATTAGCCAGTGCTCTTAACCTGAGTCATCTCTCCAGTCCAAATTCTTCTAACTTTATAAAAATTACCATCTTCTTAAATTGTTTCAATTTTCTGTAAAATTGTTCCTGAATTATTTTATTCTATATTGCATGATTTCCTTTGTACATTTTCTTCTATTTTTAATTATAGGTATGTATGTGTGTCTTTATATAGGTATGTGCACATGTGTGTGGATGTCTGTGGAGGCTAGAAGAGGGTGTTGGATCCCCATAGATCTGGAGTTACAAGTGGTTGTGAGTCACCCAATGTGGCTGCTGGAAATGGAACTCAGGTCCTCTACAAAAGCAGCAAGTCCTCTTAACCATTGAGCCATCTTTCCAGTCCCAAACTTTCTTCTTTTAAACTTCTCAGTTTTAAATCCTTCTAATACTCAATATTAACTGCTAATTACAATAATCCCTCAGTGTTCATAGGGAGCTGATTCTAGAACCAGCTCAAGTCTTTCATATGAATAGAATATTTGCATATAACCTATGCACATCCTTCTACATATTTAAAACCATCTGTAAATTACAGTATCTAATACAATGAAAACACTTTGTAAATAGCTGTTACACTGCATTGTTTAGTGAATAATGACAAGGAAAAGTCTATACATTTTCAGTAAAGGTACACATTTTTAAAAAATATTTACAATCCATGGGTAGTTGAATCTACAGATGCAGAAGCCGGGGATAAAGAAGGTTGACCATACCTGCAATTTTTTAATGTTAATTTTTCTCTCCTATACTCATATCATAGTTCTGATAGTTGGAATGACTCATTTTCATCTTAAATTATAGATTTTATCTTATTATAATTTAAAGCATCTTAACCTTTTAGCACATTTTAAATTCTTTTGCTAACCCTTAGGGAAGTTTTTATCTTAATTTTCTAGCTTTAAATTTTTTTACTTTCATCTAGAATCTTATTTCTTTTCTTTATTCCTTCACTTAAGTGTTTTTTTTTACCTTTTATGTTTTCTCAATTTCATATTCAATATGCCTAATAATTTTAGATACATATATTTTCAGAGATGAGGAAAGAGCAGCTCAAAGAAGTGAGCTGGGTTTCTTGAGGTCATATGCTTGTTTAAGGGGATTTGAGGTCTTTAGCCCAGACCTCTTCATGCCAGGACTCCATCTTTAAGGCCAATACTCTTTCCAAAATGTGCCCCAAAAGATGGTAACAGAGCCAAGGTGTAGCTCAGAAGCAGGGTATTTACTCAGCATGAATGAAAGCCTGGATTCCAACCCTAGTGGTATGCTCTCATTTATACAAAAAAAAAAAAAAAATGTCTAAAGGATGTAACAGGGGCAAAAAAAGCCTTATAAACAAAATATAAAGCTGAAGGTTTCTTTTCACAGAAAAGTGACAATGTATAAGAAGGGGTATTCTAAGAACTGTTTCTTAATGAGCATGCTTTTGATTTTTTTTTGTTCATGCACAAGACCAAGGTACCAATACTGTTTAGAATATGGCACCTTAAACATTTTGTTAAAATCTTTCTTGCTCAACTTTTCTAATAACTACTTCTGTCTAAGGAACCAACTCACCTCACAGGCAAAGCTTTTGTAGTTTGCTCTGGCAATTCTGGTGGGTTCACAAACATCAATTTGAAGAGGAGTTCCAAATATCCAATATGTCTTGCCAGTCTGGTACTGAGAACCCAGGCCCAATTCCAACTCTCTCCTTCCCTTCGTCCACCAAAGTAAATGACAACTGAAATTCACAGTTGTAAAAAAATTATTGAAAAATGAGACAGTTTATTTTCTCTAATCAAATGTCAAATAAAGGGAAGTTAAATTTACATATTTTGTGGCCCAGATTAATTCCTGAATACTCCTCCAAGAATTCCTCAAATAACCTTCCAACATACAGAAGGTATATGTAAAGTGGACACTAACTAAAATTTGACCTAAGAAACAAAGGCAGAAAAATGAAGCTTTAAGAGTCACATTGGTAGTCCAGATTGAAATGCAAAAACTATGAGTTCATCATTGTTTGCAACTGTTGAACTTCCCCAGTTCAAGTCTATTTCCTTTCTTGCAACTGAAGACATCCCCAGAAACACAGATTATATTGCTTTCTTTTCTTCCTTTTAGAAGTTAAAAATCATAGCAACAGTCAAAATGTTCAAGAGTTTGCCAGTAATGGTTATGAAGTCTTCCCTTCAGAAAGATATACGTGTAAGCTATTAACTATAAAAGAGATAAAGTCGCCAGGTGTGGTGGCGCACGCCTTTAATCCTAGCACACCGGTAACTCTTCAGAGACAAGACTGGATTCCCCCATCAGCTCCCTTAAATGAAGGGGGAGTCAGAGGTCAGGAAGTACTGGTCTTTTCCCTAGAGGGCAGCAAAACAGAGCACTGAGGAACTCTGCGAGCTATGGCGGCACTGACAATCTAGCATTGCAACCACAGCCGACTCAGTCCTGTTCAACTGAAACCTACTTTCCCAGAGTCCCAGACCACTGGGCAGAGGGAGAAGGCTCAGATTCCTCCTTGGCCTCAGAACCCTGTTTTAAGTGCTATCAGAAATACTGATGAATTAAAGCACATCCTAGACTCTGTTTCAACCAGAATGCAGAGCTGGAGAGAAGCATTGTTGTTCAACCCAGAGCCTGGGACTTTCAAGTGGAAATATCAACATTACTTCTAGCTCTGGATCCAAGGAAATTCAGGTTAGCAAAGTAAAAACCAGTGTTCAAGACTGAAGGCTAGATAGCCAAGTGGCCTTCTCTGTAAAACAAGCCCAGAAACTAGTGTGGTCAGGAAACAGGTTAGATCAACACAGGAATTTTCCCAAGGTGCATCAAAAAAAAAAAAAAAAAAAAAAAAAAAAAAAAAAGATAAAGTCCTGTTTCATGTTAACAAGTAGTACAGCAGCTTTTAAAGCTATGCCACTCAGGCTTGGACACTATTGCTCTAAGCCAATTTGGAAAGTAGCAAAAAGAAATTTTTTTCAGCCAGTTATGACAATCACACATAGATTTTAAGACACAGATATGTTGGGTTTTTTATATTTTGTTATTTTTATTTTATGCATATGCATGTATTGCCTGAATGTAGGTAAGTGCACCCGTGTCGTGCAATGCCTGCGGAGGTCAGAAGAGGCTGTCGGATCCCCTGGAACTGGAGTTAAAGACAGTTGTTAGCTGCCATATGGGTGCTGGGATTCAAACCTGGGTCTTTTGCAAGAACAACCAGTGTTCTTAACTGCTGAGCAATCTCTCCAGCCCGACATAGATATGTTTTAGGTAAAACAATTAGTCTTGATACTTTTCTCCATTAAAAAAAAATTATTTATGTGTGTGTGTGTGTGCCTGAGTGTACATATGGGCAACACATGCATGTAGGTGGTTGTAAGCCACCATGTGAGTATTGGGAACTAAACCCAGGTCCTCTGAAAGAACAGCGAGTGCTCTTAACCACTAAGCATCTCTCCAGCCCTGTATTTCTCCGTTTTTCAAAAAGATAAAACAGCAAAGACTTACTAAAGAATATATATAAGAGTGCCAGGAAACTCAGTGATACTGCTATACCCAGATTTGCATCAACTGTAAAAGCAAACAATAAGCCAACCCCTCCACAGAGCAGCAGGGTAAGAAAAACTATAAGCCAGGAAAACTGGAAAAGTGGTTCAATCTGCTGTCCTGCAAAAGTCTTCATTTCATCTGAAAGAAAAATTATTATAAAATTTTATTGTTTTGCTTAATGTAACTTTTAAGTCAATCTTTAATTTTCATATTTTTAATATAAACTTTTACTGGGCACTTACCAAGTATCCTAAATAGACTTAACCATTTAAATTAATGTTTTCTTTCAATCAACAAAAGCATCCCATTCCCCAGGCCTTACCCCACTTACTTCACACTGAAAACATATGAAACACTGACCTTACCCACTTCTACTTCACACTGAAAACATATGAAACACTTCTATATATTATTCTCATCTGTCATGGTTTTGTTTATACTAATTTTCTGTGGCTTATACTACACAAATGAAGTGTTGTTTTCATATACAAAAATAAAAACAATACTCTGTCTTCAAACTACATCATTGCCATTTCTCCCTGATCCCCTCTCCCTCTCTAGTCACATTCAACAACTGCAGTTCTCAAAAGGGTGTTAAGTCCAATGAACCCCACACAAGTCATCTTTCTACAAAATTTGAGGTCATTTTTACAGACAATATTGAAACCTGTCCTTGAGGAGTAAGAATGGTTTTTGTCAAGCAAAAGAGTGGGAAAGAAAGTTCCCACACTTGACCTTAACCAAAAGGCTGAGAAAGGATAGGAAGTTTCTAATAAAGGAAGCCAGGAAACATTCCAGGTTTATTGACACAAGGACACACAGCCCTGACTGCAGCACAAAGCCCACTAAAGTGCCTGCAAACTAACAAGTGTGTGAAAAACCTGTGAAACTTGATGCTTACACACAACTAGGTCTCTTTTAGAAAGAAAACACAAGGAGGATCAACTAGAGGAGAGCAAAGTCCCAACAAATTTACTTCAGTAATCTATGTTGCTACACATAAAAATAGACAGCACTCCTTTACTACAGAGACTACAGAGAAAAACATGCTATATAGAAAGACTTCATAAAAACATCTTCTTTACCTTCTAGTTTCTTGAGTAAGAAAGATTTCCCACTTCCCCATTGTGCATATAACCCCACACAAATGGGTGGCTGCATGGTAGGCTCACTGAGGATATCTGCCAGGGCGCTGCTATATAAATCATAACCAAGCATGTCACCATCTGTTTCAGTAGGAGACAAGTGTCCTGTAATCAGAAACACACCATATCCTTATATTAAACAGTGGTATTACTATATAGAAGGAATACCAATTTTGACTGATTATTAGGGGAGAGGCGACATCTATTTAAACATTTAGACCTGTGTGATAATAGTTTCAGAGATTCTTAAGTAAATACTATATTTAATGGAACATGATATACCTATTAATTATAAGATGCATCATTTTTAAGTACAGCTTAGAAAAAATTGCTGCCAAATGATGACACAATACTTTCTTATCTATCACTTGTAAGACATATTCCAGGGCTGGGGCATAGCTCAAGAATAGAGCACTTGCTAGCATTCATGAACCTTGGGTTCAATCCTTAGAACTACAGAGGGAAAAGCTCAAGAAATATTTCAATTCCAGAGACATTAAAATCAGAAATATTAAAAACACAAACTAGTACATAAGTTATAAACTGTTATTGAAGAATATAATAATCAAAGAAAAAGAAAATCTATGGTTCCTGGCAGAAGGGCATAGTGACTCAGATTAAGGCAAATTAAGGCAATTCCAATAAAAACCCATGAGAATATTTTTAAAGATAGAAAATGAAGAAGATGTAAGAGGGGCTGGAGACATGGTTCAATAGTTGCTTCCTGTTCTTCCAGAGGACACAGGTTCAGTTCCCAGCACTCACATCTGGCAGTTGCCTATAACTCAAGTTCCTGGGGATCCAACACCCTCTTCTGGCCTCCACAGATACCCACACACCAGTGGTATGCATTCAGACAGACACACACATATACATAAATAAAAATAATAAAAGAAGCCGGCATGGTGACGCATGCCTTTAATCCCAGCACTTGGGAGGAAGAGGCAGGTGGAGCTCTGTGAGTTCGAGGCCAGTCAGGTCTACGTAGCGAGTTCCAGGTCAGCTGGGGCTACAGGGAAACCCTGTCTCAAAAAGACCAAAAAAAATTAAAAAATTTAAAAATAAAATAAAAAAAAAAAAGAAAAAAGAATAGCTAAGAAAGATTCAGGCATGGTGGTGCACACCTTTAATCCCAGCACTTGGGAGGCAGAGGCAGGTGGATCTCTGTGAGATCAAGGCCAGCCTGGTCTATATATTGAGTTCCAGGCCAGCTGAGGCTACAGGAAGATCCTGTCTCAAAGGCTCCCTCTCCACACAACCCCCACAAAAGAATAGCTAAGAAAGAAAATTTAAATCTATTGTTTATTGTTATTATTATTAGGCATGTATGTGCACATAATATGTGTGTGGGTGTGCTGCCACAGTGTATGAATGGAGGTGAGAGAACAATTTTGTAGAGTCAGGTTTTTTTTCCCACCCTTAACATGAGTTCCAAGTATTAGATTCAGGTCATAAGGTTTATACAGCAAGCACTTTTACCTGCTAAGCTATCTCACTGATCCAGAAACTATTTTTAAAATTTTATTTGGGTCAGACATGTGGCCTATTTATTTTCCATGAGTTTTATTGAAAATTCACTATTTAAAAGCTCAGGCAGAGGACTGGAGAGATGGCTCAGCAGTTAAGAGCACTGACTCCTCTTGCAGAGGACCCGGGTTCAATTCTCAGTACCCACATAGCAACTAACAACCTTCTGTAATTCCCGTTCTGGGGAATCCAACACCCTCTCTGACCTCTGCAGGCATGCACAACATGAGTGTACTTACATACATGCAGGCAATACACTCATATACATTCAATTAATTAATTAATTAATTAATTAATAAAAGCTCAGGCAGGAAGTTTTGCGGGTATAGCTCAGTGGTAAAGCATTTGCCTAGTATTAGCAGGGCTCTGGGTTCAATCTCCAACAACATACACATACACACATACAAAGCAGCTCAGTCAGGGACAAAACCAATACTTACTGGCTCCAAATATTTGAGTTAAAATGCTTTTCTGATGACTGCAGTCGATGTTGTAAGGAGTCTCGCCTGCTTTGTTGGGCCTATAAAGTAACCGTCCATCTTTAGGGTTTCTTAAAAGAAGTTCTGCCAGTTTCCGGCTCCTTCCTCGAATGGCAATATGTAGGGGAGTGTCTCCTTTCTATAAAATGATAGCAAGAAACCTGAACTTTCACATTTTCATATATAGCATTGAGTAATCACTTTCACATTGTTTATAAAATAGAAAATCTGAATGTTTTATATTTTTCTTATATAGTACACACATAATATGAATTTTAACTCTATCTTCCACACAATTTTCTTTTTTTGTTCTTTACTAGCTTTTCTCAGAAATTATTTCTCTCCTAGTCTTCTAGAACGAGGTCTTCTCTCTTTTCAGTTCACAGAAAGAAGAACAACAGTCTTTCTCCTTCCTATGGGCTGACCCACTCCATAGTACCAGTTCCCATGAGCCACAGCTGAACATCTGAAGCAGTTTCATAGATAAACACTTCTTACAACAACATGCTGCTGGACCAGAATCAAAATCCCCCATGGACATTTACAGCCAGTAATCTCTTCTGTACACAATAAAATTAGATCTCTAGTGCATCCACCAGATGTCAAGGTCCAACTATCAACAGCTCACCAAAAAGTATGCCCTGTGCACAGATGTTTTTACCTTGTCCACCGCTGACACCTTGGCTCCTTTATCCAGCAGCAGCTCCACTACTTCAATATTTCTCATCTTGGTGGCCTTTATTAGTGGTGTTTCACCATCCTGTGGGATAGATGAGAAGGTTTACTCGACTAACAGAACTTTGTTTTATCAGCAAGTCTACACTTAAAATGTTCTAAAGAAAATGTAATTTAAAAACTAATTCCTTTCACAGTCACTCATTTGTATGGAAATGACTTTATATTACTAAGCATTTTAATTCAGAATTACAAATATATTTCCCTATAGAAAACTTACACACACAACTAACTACAATCAACAAAGTCCTATATAGTTTTTAATTCTTCATACAATTTGAGTGAGGCTAAAATGACTGATGTGGAGAACCAACAACCTCTCACAGAGGTTTAAAACAAATGTGTTCTGCATTCCAAATAGCATAAACAAGCATAGGGTAGACAATTTCTTCACAGCTTATGAAGAGCTGATAGTGTGCTTTCTGAAAAGTACTTAACCGAAGCATCAAATTACACTCTGCATTGTGCTATATATACATAACTCCTGAAAGGATACAGTGTTACTCCTCAGTTTAATATACAACATTATTAATAATGCTAAAATCAAAGAAAGATGACTGGAAAAAGTAAGCAGTACTAATGTTCAGCATTAGGCCTTGCTAACAATAGAAAATACCATCTATACCTTTGTGCATATTTCAGTATCAGGGTTGCACTGCAGGATATCTCTCACCATTGTTGCATTTCCCTTTTCAACAGCCCAATACAAAGCAGTTTTGTTGTCCTATATAATTAAAAAATCAGGTAAGATAAAATACTAAAAATTGCTATTTATCATGAAATGCAAAATATTATGAAAATATCCTATCACGCCACAAACTTCCAACAAGTAGAAAAGTGGGACTATCAATTTATATGCTATGTAGGATTTACTTTTGAGAAATTATAAGTAAAGGAAAACTTAATATTACTTAGCTAAAATGTAGCAATCCCATATAGCTAATAAATTACACTTTTGCTTTATTTTTGGTGCTAGGGATAGAACCAAGGGCCTCACATGTTAGGCAAGCACAGCCCCAGCCCTAAATTATACTTTTTCAATGCAATTAGATTTCAGGAACATGAACTAGGTTAGAGGTCATCAATATCTGAGCTTTGAAATCTTGGACAAGTCATTTAAATATGCTGACCAAATATTTTATCTGTAAAATAAGGTAAATTTTCTGTACAACTTTTCTAAAGTTAATAAGAATGTATTTTTATAAACATGGGCATTACATTTTTTAGCTTTTTAAAAAAATATTTTATTATTTTTATTTTTATGTGTATGAGTGTATTGCCTGCATGTAGGTAAGTGCACCTGTGTCATGCAATGCCCGTGGAGGACAAAAGAAGCCATTGGATCCCCTGGAACTGGAGTTATGGGCAGTTGTTAGCTGCCATATGGGTGCTGGGATTTGAACCTGGGTCTTCTGCAAGAACAACCAGTGTTCTTAACTGCTGAGCCATCTCTCCAGCCCCACTTCTTTTTTAAAAAATATTTTATTTATTATTTGTTATTTTATTTTATTTTATGTGTATGTGTGTATTGCCTGCATGTAGGTAAGTGCACCTGTGTCATGCAATGCCCGTGGAGGACAAAAGAAGCCATTGGATCCCCTGGAACTGGAGTTACAGACAGTTGTTAGCTGCCATGTGGGTGCTGGGATTCGAAACCGGGTCTTCTACAAGAACAGCCAATATTCTTAATTGCTGAGCCATCTCTCCAATCCCCAATTTTTAGCTTCTTAATCTCTACCCACCTTGCATCCTATACTGTCTTAATAAGATCCTTCCACAACCTATTTGGCCCGAAAACCAAACCTTTAACCCACACAGACCTGGAAAACAGAGCTAGAAAACAACAAATAAAAACTGATTTAAACAGGCAAAGAGGACTGACAAAAACAAAGAACCTAAGTAATGGTCTAAAACAAGTGATCCAGAAACCATCTTTTAGTGAAAATTGGCTTTAATTAAATAATGACTTTTTTTTTTTTCTTTTGGTCTTTTTTGAGACAGGGTCTCTCTCTGTAGCTCCAGCTGGCCTGGAACTCACTTTGTAGACTAGACTGGCCTTGAACTCACAGAGATCAGCCTGCCTCTGCCTCCAGAGTACTGGGATTAAAGGCACACACCACCATGCCCAGCCGATAATGACTTTTGAAGCTGCCACACTAGGTATCCTATACCAAAATTTCCCTAAGGGAGTTACCATTCTAAAAAATGTGCACTAGCTGGCCAGCATTCTTAGCATGTTGCTCAAACATTTCCAGCACTACCTCCCTTCCCAGTGCCATCTCTCTAACCCCAACATTCCAGTCACCTCAATAACAAAACGATTTTCTTCTAGCTACAGAACAGTTTTTCATTCACCAATTTTCCTGAGTTTTCTCATACTATTACCACTGTGCTTATTTGAAACACCCCATCTTCCTTTCCTCTACCTACTTGAATAGAATTCGTCTTCAAACAACTCAAATTCTGTTTTCAAAAGCTTTTTCCTTTATTTCCTCTTTCTATACATCAACATTTAATTTTTAATTTTTTAAATTTTTTTATTTATGTATATACATATCTGTCTGTGTGTATGCTATCTGCTTTTGAAAGCTTTTTCCTTTATTTCTTCTTTATGTGCATCAACATTTACTTTAATTTTTAATTTTTTTCAAAATATTTTTATTTATTATTTTTATTTTATGTGTATGAGTGAACTGTCTGCATGTAGGAGTGCACCCATGTCGCACAATGCCCACGGAGGACAGAAGAAACCATCCGATCTCCTGGAACTGGAGTTACAGACAGTTGTTAGCTGCCATGTGGGTGCTGGGATTCGAACCCGGGTCTTCTGCAAGAACAACCAGTGTTCTTAACCACTGAACCATCTCTCCAGCCCCTTAATTTTTAATTTTTTAAGATTTATTTTTTATTTATGTGTACATGTGTCTGTGTGTGTATGCACACATGTCTGCAGGTCTACATGGAGGCCAGAAGAGAGTATCAGATCCCCTGGAGCTGAAGCTACAGGCAGTTGTGAGCCACCAACAGGGTACTAGGAACCAAATTCTAGTCCTCTCTCTGCAAGAATATCAAGGGAAACTGCTGAGCAAGCTCTCCAGAGCCTTGTTTTATTTTGGGGGAAAGGTTCTCACTACACAGCCTAGGTCAAACTTATTGAGATCCTCCTGCTTCAGGCTCCCAAATGTTGGGATTCCAGGCATGTGTCACAACGCCCAGCAACACTCTCATTTTGAAAACATCACTAGAAAAACAATTAATTACATAATATCCTATAGCTTCACTTTCATGTTTATATAAAAATAAACTAAAGCCTTCCAAATTTAAACATGCTTCGTGTGTGTGTGTGTGTGTGTGTATATACATGTTTGTGTGTGTATGCACATGCCTGTGTAGGTATACATATGTATGCATGTGCATGTGGATGTGGAGGCCAGAGGTCAACATCAGAAGTCTTCCTCAATCACTCTTCACCTCATTTTTTTGGAGACAGGGTCTCTCACTGAACCTGAAGCTCACCAATTGTTTAGAACAGTTAGCAAGTAAGCCCCAGAAATCCTTTTATCTCTGCATCTCCAGCACTGGAATTATAGGGGTTTGCCAGTGCACTTGACTTTTTACATGGATGCTGGGAATCTGAACTCAGTTCCTCATGCTTGCCTGAGCCATCTACCCAACCCCTAAATACATATCTCTTAAAGGCAAAGGTCCCATGTTAATTCTTCCATAACATTAAATATAGTATTACTATTATATGATTCAAAAATGGCTTTGGCTATAAAATATTATTGGCCAAATATAAGAAAAACAACAGAATGGTAGATTATCCAAAATGGGATAACAAGAAAAATTGTTTGAAATCTAAGGCTCTTGAAATATTAGATACTTACACAACTTTGGGTAAGGTATCTACCTTATCTATATCATTTTTGTTTATTTGTTCTCTGTATTAAAGATGGAATCCACGGTCTTGCACATGTTTGACAAGCACTCTACCACTGAGCTCCTACCTCCAGCTCCTACCTAAAATGAACAACCTTTGTTGCTCTGTGAGCTACGACTACCTGAAGCAAAGTCCACAGGCAGCACCAAATGGTCCTAGAAGAACTAGAATGGGAAGAGGAAAAGAAAACAAAACAAGAAAGAAAGAACAGCACAATAAGAAAACAAAAATGGGGAAACACTACAGAAAATAAGTAATGCACTCAAATGCCACCTAGTGGCTCAGTACCACAAACTACTCATTTTAGGATTAAGTATATTCTAAAAACATAAATTTCTTTTTTTCTGAATTTAACTTGACATTCATTCTGGAACTTTACAAAATGGCAATAGAATACAATAATAATAATAATATCCGTCAAATGCATTAGGGTTTACAAGTTTATCTCCACAGGAAAGTTGGAAGAATAACATGGTCACTTGACATACACATTCACAGTAACTGCAGTATAAACACACATACCTGTCCTCTAATGTCTATATCAGCATATTTTTGGAGAAGTGCTCGAACAATTTCTACATGACCACCTCTAACAGCACCAATCAGTACAGTATCCCCACTCTAAAAGGACAAAAGACAAGGTCAATTAGTGAACAAATTATCACTGTTTTGAAGTTAAGGCTACTTGTTTATTACTATAACGGATTTGTTCAAAAAATCTCTTTGAAAAGGAGTATTTCTAAGAGAAGTTTTAATTAACTAATAATAACATCTGGTATTAGTCATCCTCTAAGTAAGAAACAGGGGTCATTAATCCTCAGAATAAGGATAATAAAGTTTCATGATGAAAATTTAGAAAGACATATTACTCAGAATCTATACTTCCCATCATAAATATAAATGAAAAAATATGACTGACTGTCAATTTGGATATGATAAGCCCCTTGGAATACCACCACATGATAAAAAGCAACAGTTCCAAATCAGGAGCTGTAAAGCTGGCATGCTATCATGGTCCCACAGTCACCTTAAACTGAGAACACGACTGGCTTTCTGATTAGTCCCTGTGGATACAGCCAGTGGGCAGTCACAGGCTAAGAGCACACGGACTGCTTCATCCTCCTGTACAAAATTGGCCAAGTTAGATACCTCATGAGTGTATCTACTGAAATTATACTCAACCAGCAACAGCTATTTTTTTTTTAATCACAGCTTCACAGTACTAATTTGGCCATGGACACAAATATCTTATTATTTTATTGTTAAACTGCAAATCAGTTATAGGTTATTGTGTCAAGTTACAGTGTGCCAGGCACCATTCTAGGCACTGGGAAACAAGATAGACAAGGTCCCAGCTCTGAGTAAATTTATAGTCTAACAGAGAAAAACAACATATAACAAAAAAAATAAAGAAAAACATTATGCAAATAGAATAGCATATATGATAGAAAGTGACTGGGCAGCTACTATGGACTGGATAGCTAAAGATGACCTTTAAATATGTAGATTTATGGTGAGGTGAAACGACAAACAGGAGTCATCATGTGAAGACAGCATTCTCAGGTGAGAACACAGCTGGTGAAAAAGGCCTACTCCACAGCAGAACAAGATCAGTATGCACAAGAAAGGGAAGGAGAGTTAATAGGGCTGCAACCTACAAAACAGGCAAAGTGTGGCATAAAACAAGGACAAAGACTTAGGCAAGGACAATGACACGCAATGTCTATAAACTAAAAATGTAATATGCATTCAAAGTGCAAGGGAAAGGCTTGGATAGCTTCAACAAAGGACAACAATGTAGAAAATAGGGGCTGGAGAGATGGCTCAGTGGTTAAGAGCACTGGTTGCTCTTACAGAGGACCTGGGTTCCATTCCCAATACCCACATGACAACTAACAACCATCTAAAAGTCCAGCTCCAGGAGACTCTGACACCTTCTTCTGACCTCCATGGGCATTGCATGACATTGGTACACTTTCATACATGCAGGAAATACACTCATACACATAAAATAGAAACAATTAATAAAATTTTTTTAAAAATAAAAGTGAAGAATAAAGCAGAGGCAACAAGAGAAGCCTCTTATGATGCTATTGTAAGGAGAGAAGAAGGCGACTTAGAGCAGGGAGGTGAATGAGGAGATGAAGAGAGAGAACAGTTGAAGCATAAGTTTTATATGAGTAAACAGCACTGCATGGAATAGGTGAAGAAAAGAGAAAACTCAGTACTACTAGTGTACAGAACTGGGGCCTTTAACAACAGGATGGTACCATGATGGAAAAAAAAACTGAGGGGAAAATGTCTTAAGGCATTAAAAAAAGACTTCCACTTTATTTTGCCAACAGTTTAAGAAGCTCATTGGACAGATATTCAAAAGGAAAGTTCATCAGATGAAGCTGACCTCATGGAAGGAGTTGGGTGACAGAAACATTCTGAAAATCTTACATAAAAAAGTGATACTTTAAGCCCTGGGATAATGAGTAATACCAGACATGAAAAACACCACAGTGAGATGCATCTAAGAGAGTTACAAATTCATACATGTGACATTTCCAGTAACAACATTGTCTGACAAAAACAAATAAAGATATTCTTTAATAAGACTGAGGTTTTCAACTTATTAGCTTCAAAGGTAAAAATAAAACCTATCTAAAAGAAGTTTATGTCATACACAAAGACTCTTGAAAGATGGTAAGAAGCAGTGAAGCTAATTTTCCATCCACTTCACAACTACAGACAAATCTGAAATCGGTACCCTACCCTGTCAGGTATGTTCACATATGTTCCAGCGTCCAGTAGATCCTGTACAATTTCTGTATGCCCCTCCTTTGACGCAATCATCAAAGCTGTATTTCCATCCTTATCGGTTAAGTTTACATTTGGATTCCTCTTCAAAATCTCTTTTACTGACTGTGTATAGCCTCCTTTTACTGCCACAATGAGTGCAGTCATTGAATTCTTAAGAAAAAAGAAAGAAATTAGTATATTCTAGAAAACGCAGTATTTATACCATAATCAGAAAAGTGTTTTCAAATAGATGCCCTATTATTAACAGCTGTAGGGCTAGAAAGATCACCCAATAGTTAAGAATACTTGCTACTCTTCCAAAGGACCGGAGTTCTGTTCCCAGCACCCATACCCAGTGGCTCACAAGTGCCTATAACTCCAGTTCCAGGGGACTCAATGCCTTCTTCTGGCCTCTACAGGCACCCACAGTAAGATGCACATACCCACATGCAGACATACATACATACACATAACTTTTAAAATAATAAATTGTTAACAGTTGGTGGTGCTGGCATGTAGTCCAGGGCCTTGTGCATGCTAGGCAAGCACTCTACCACTACACTGCTCCTCTGTCCATTAACAGTTACTTCTGACAGGGCCAGCAATATGGCTCAGTCAGTAAAAGCACATGCTGCATAGCCTGATGACTGAGTTTGATCCTCAGGACCAATATAGTAAAAGGAGAGAACTGATTCCCTGGGGTTGGCCTATGACAGCCACGTGTGTGCTGTAGCATGCATACGCCCCCATAATAAACAAATGTAATAAAAAATTTTAAGTTATTTTTGACAATAAAATACCAATATTGGGCCAGGTGTGGTGGCGCACACCTTTAATCCCAGCACTCGGAAGGCAGAGGCAGGCAGATCTTTGTGAGTTCAAGGCCAGCCTGGTCTACATAGTGCGTTCCAGGACAGCTGGGGCCACAGTGAGATCCTGTCTCAAAAAGACCAAAAAAACACATATATCAATATAAATAACCAGACATATACCAAAAATGGGGAGGAGACATATTTTCAGGGTTTCAATTTTTTTTCTTTTTATATTTCTCTCTCTCTCTCCCTCTCTCTCTCTCTCTCTCTCTCTCTCATCTCTATCTCTATCTCTATCTCTATCTCTATCTCTATCTCTATCTCTGTATGCACACATGTGCACATGTGGGTGGGTATGTGTGCACTGTGTGTGGCAGTCAGGAAATAAGTTGCAGTTCTCAGCCAGCCCCAAACTTTCAGTTTTTAAAGATATATTAATTCTAGTGAGTAATCAGGGCCATTAGGAGGTTTGGTTCTTTTTTAAAATTTATTTATTTTATTTTATGTGTATGAATGCTTTGCTTGCATGTATGTAAGTGCACCTGTGCATGCAATGTATTCAGAGGCCACAAGGGGGCATTAGGTTCCCTGGAACTGCAGTTACAAATGGTTGTTAGCCTTCATGTAGGTGCTAGGAACCAAACCCATGCCCTCTGCAAGAGCAGCCAGTGCTCTTACCTGCTAAGCCATCTCTCCAGTCCTGTGAGGTTTGGTTCTTTAAATGATAATCTGAAACTGGATTCATTTACAGTGAACAAATCCTCACACAAATGTAACAAAGTTGAAAGAATGACTCAAAATTCCACATTTTCTAAATTAAATAATCCAAAATAAAAATGGATCAAACTTGAAAATAAGAATTTCTTTGTTAAAAAAAAATCCATAGGAGAAACTAAAAACAAAATTTATGTACATCAGCAATAGGTCCTTAATAGCAAATATTTATTACGTTTTTCACATAACATACTTAGATAATAAAAGGAAAATGCTTATTTTCAAAGTTAATATTATTTAGGAATCCCAGCTTTTACAAGGCTAAGCAGGAGGATTATGAATTAAAGGACAACTTGGACAACATAGTGAGGCCCTAACTCAAAATGTGAAGAAAAATCATTTAGGAATTACAAGGAAAATTTTCTAGGCAAATGCTTACCTAAAATGTTCTCTTAAAACAAAAACCTCTTTCTACTAGAAGGATTAGGAAACAAAAGGTACTTACAGCTCCTTCTTGATCAACATCAGCTCCCATGGTCAATAAATGTTTCACACATTCCAAATGACCCTTTCGGGCAGCCCACACCAAAGGGGTGGTTCCATACTAGTAAAACAAGCAATAAATTCTAAATTATTTTCAGAAGTGTACTAAAAAAAAGTAACTTAAAACTATATTTTGAGAATTCTTAGATAAAATGTTTATACTAATAATTTTAATCCTAGATAAAACCAATTTCCCTCATTTAGTTCTCCTGAATATTATAAATGGCTAGTCACTACTGTATGAAATGTCTTTTACTTGTTTTATTTTATTTATATGTCAATTTTATTTAACTTTTATGATCAATGATTTTCCCATCATAAAGTTATATAGTCCCTAATTTTCAATAAGCATTCATTCCTTCCCATATTTTATGATATATAAAGTCTAACAGTCTGCAAAAATAGCCATAAACAACTACCAAACACAGTTTCTAATGACTTTACATGGTTAATGCATGCTATCCTTATCACAGAATAAGTACAATTCACAATATCATAATTTCACAGAGGTAAAAAGGATAATTTCACAGAGGAAGAAAGGGGGCCCTGCCTAAAACAAGGTCAAAGTAACAAAGCTATCAAGAGGTGAGAAGAAATTCATGAACCCAACCAGGCCTGATTTCAGTCTATGCTCTTAGCCACCACCACAATCGGCTTGTATCCTTGACAACTTCAGCCAGAAACTGTTCAAAAGCACCTTTCCTGAAACATTATCAAAAGGTATCAGACACTATAAATCATACACAAAAGCAATGCTGTGCCTTTAAGAAGTATAGCAATCTATCGACATATAAGTAACCACAGTGACCTTTATGTCCACGGGGTCATGCAAATGGATATGAACATTTAAAATAAACTGACAGCCTGTCCAATAGGGCTATGTTGATAAAAAATACTCTATAATTCCACGTTACCCAATACAACAAGAAGCCACTGGTATGTATGACTATAAGCACACGAATTGTGGCTAGTTTGACTAAGGAATTAAATTTTTTATTTTACTTAACTTCAATTAAATTAAGTCTAAATAGCCATTATGTTGCTAGCTGCTAATACACTGGGAAACATCTCTCTATGGATGACATCAGACACCCCAGGAATCACAGTCTTGGAAGCTGTAGCCCTCAGTGCCCTTCTCTGATAAATGGAACCTCATGACAGACAAAAAGGGTACTAATACTAATACAGCACTGGGAAAGGAAGCCTGATGAAAAGGAGGAAGGTCAGGAAGGAGAACTGTTTCTTGATCACCGACTCAAATCAGGCTTAAACAGATGGAATAATGTATGGAGGATAAATGCTCCAATTTCACTCTTGTATCTTAGTCCTCCCAGAATTAAACACTCTTTTACATCTTTTTCTTTTGGAGATGATATTTTGTCTGTCTGGACTGCCTCTTCTAATCCTATATAACAACATCCTAGCCATTGTCAAGGGTAACAGACACACATGCACAATTCATCAAGATTTCCTTAAGTATACAAATTAGACTTAAGTTCTCATCCTTTGAGCACCTACTGCATTTGATTGTTATCCTCCTGAGAGAACTCAACCATGCAAGATTATATACTAGAATGTCTGTTTTTTCCCTTTGCAGTCACAATGGTCAGTTCAGCCAGATCCTGGATTTAGCAATCTCAATTACACTGTTACAAAGAACTCTTGATGCCCAGTAAGAACTTTCTTACCTTGTTTCCTGTCTATCCCACAATGGCTCTTCAGTTTGCATTCAACCACCTCAGTAAGTCTTTCTCTTCTCTTTTTCTCAAGTTCAAATTCTGATGCATTTCCCTCCTCAATCAAATCCTTTTATGCATAATTTTTTTGAGGCAGTCTCACCATAGAGCCCAGGCAGGTCTTGAACTAATGATCTTTCTGTTCATCTTTCTGAGGGCTAGGAATACTAGTAGGTGCCACCATGCCAGGCTCCCTTTACATACAATCTGGATCCTGTCTTCCTATTTCATCTAGAAGTTACTCAACAATCTCTTCTCATGTCACATCCTTTCTTCTTATAATCCCTTTCCTGTCAGGTCTCTAATTTAAGTTCTTACAATTTAGACTTTCCTTCCCTAACAAACTTTCCCAACAGCCTATGCTCTCAAAATACGAGCCTTTGTCCTTTCTTTCACACTTTAAGTGAACACAATACAAAGCAGAACCTGGACAAACTCTTCCAACTTACCTTGTCAGAGCAATTGACTTTAGCACCATTTTGTAGTAGAATATGCACTATATCCGCATGGCCCCTCCCTGCTGCCCAAATGATTGGGTAAACACTGTACTGCTGGGATGAACAGGTAGACCAGAAGGAGGGAAGAGAACAGAATTTTTGAGATGGAAATTTGCAACACAAATTTACTAAGTAAAGTGAGTATCTAAAAAAAGTAACACAAAGTAAATATCAAAGGGAGTAACACCGAGTAATGTTTTTTTAATCAAGATATAGACTATTCACCAATTTAAAAAACAAATTACATAATTGACAATTAAGATGCACTAAATCTTAGATAAACATACTATCAATGCATCTCTTTTTACAAAATGAACAACCTATCAATTGTGATTATCAAGTCAACAGGTAAGATTAATGAGAGAAATACTAGTCAGACCCTGTCTCAAATATATTTATACATATATAATGAGGCTGGAGAGATGGTTCAATGGTTAAGAGCACTGGCTGCTCTTGCAGAGGACCCAAGTTCAATTCCCAGCACCCACATGGTGGCTAACAACCATATGCACAGTTCCAAGGGATCCAATGCCCTCGTCTGATCACCAGGGGCACTGTATGACATAGGTACACTTATATACATGCAAGCAATACACGCATACACATTTAAAAAATGGTTAAAAAGGCTTGCCTTTTTGAAAAATGAGAAACAGCTTATATAATTGTCATTGTATCCTAAAAAAATCACATTCCACATTATATTTATTTTGATCTAAAAATTCTATATCCACTATGAGGTATAAATAGTCTAAAGCATTCCCTAAGGAAAACGTATTTATATTACAAACTAATTTTTTGTTAATGCTTACCAGACCAGTGACACTTGGATTGGCACCATGAGAAAGAAGCAACTCTACTACATCAGTCCGGCCTTTATAGCATGCCCACATGAGAGCTGTCCATCCTCCCTAAAGGGAAAAAGGGGGTGAATAAAATTGTATCATCATCAAGCATAAAAATGCCATCAACCAAGCTCTCCCTGTGTATATCCATTATGCCATTATTTTATGAAGGTAATATATGTAGTCTTAAATTCCTAAGATCCTCAGAGAAATATATGCAATAGAAGATGAAATGAATAAAATTTAAGTCTGCAATTGATTACTGCAAAATTTGTAAAATATTCTATCACAAAATTGAAATAGGGAATGTTCATGCTTCTCAGAGTCATTTTGACTATTCATAACCATAGTAGCTGGGAAGCAGAGAGAGAAGGGACTAGGATCCTATATCCCCTTCAAGGGCATACCCTAAGTGTCCTAACTTCCACAAGTCCTCACTTCTCAGTAGTGCCACAGCTGAGGATCAAGACTTTAACACATGAGCTTTTGGGGGCATTTTACATCCAAACTACAACAGAATCTCCCTATACTTTGAGAATACAAGATTATAGATATAAACTTTTGTGTAAGGCACAGTATACTATTAAGAGCAAGATAGTAAAATGCTGCACTTTCTTTGAAACTTTAAAACTGTATTTCATAAAGCCCAATTTAGCTAAGTGAAGTATGTTTTAAGTGTCAAGGTATATCATTTCCTTCTTTTCTTCCTTCCTGCCTGCCTTTCTGTCTCTTCCTTCCTGCCTTCCTTCTATTAAAATTCACCTCTTAAAAGGTTAAACATTCTAGCCGGGCCGTATTGTGGCACATGCCTATAGTCCCAGCACTTGGGAGGCAGAGGCAGGCAGATTTCTGTGAGTTCAAGGCCAGCCTGGTCTACAAAGTTAGTTCTGGGCAAACTAGGGCTACAGAGAGACCCTGTCTCAAAAAGACAAAGAAAAAAAAAAGATTCTACAGAATAAAACAGATATGATCCCTTTCCTTACTTTTATGCTTGAACCAGATGTCACGATCATATAAGAGTTAGTTAAGAACACTGGCTACTGTCACAAAAGACCCAGGTTTGGTTCTCAGCACCCACATGGTAGCTAACACACATTCTTAACTACAGTTCCAGGGGATCTGATTCCCTGTTCTGGCTTCTGCAAGCATCAGGCACACACATGGTGTACTTACATAAGTGTAGGGAAAACAGTCCTACACAAAAAGTAAAAAATTTTTCAAAAAAGAGCTAAGTAACTGGTTGTGGTGGTGCACATCTTTAATCCCAGCACTCAGGAGGCAGAGGCAAGCTAAGGACAACTAAGGAACACATCTTGTTAAACTTGCAATGTGCATGGACAGCAGACCTGAACACCTTTTATAAATAAATTTACAAATATTCAAAAAGAGGGTCACCATAACATAAGGGTTTAAAACATTCTTGAAAGTCATTTTAATGTTCATATTCAAGTCCTTAAAGCATTAAAATATCATGTCATACATAAAAATTCAAGATTAAGCCTGATGGGGAAACTAATGCCTATAACCCCAATACTCAGGAGGTTGAAGCAGGAAGACATTACCATAGGTTCGAGGACAGCCTGGACTAATTAGTGAGTTCCAGAACAGGCTGAGGTACAGAGGGATACAAAGAAACAAATTCATCTGTAGCTATTATTAGTAAGCTTTCAGTTAATTAGTATCACACTGTAGAAAGTGCACATACCATGTCCCGATGCTCCAAATTAACCTCACATTTAAGTAGCTCCTCCACGATGTGAACATGCCCTTCTTTAGACGCAGATATAAGTGCTGTCCAGTTATCCTTGAATGCAAATTCAAAATGACGTTTTGAAATAAAAAACAATATTTCAAAGTGAGGAAAAAAACTGAATCTACATGTCAAATGATCATCCCAAACTGACATGATGTGAGCCACTCTAAATGTCTGAAAACAATCTGGAAGCTCTAAGAATTTATTCGTCTACTTTTTGTATCATGAGTAACAATGAAGAAGCTAACTTTACAACTATTTATTCTCCCTGGACCTCTACTCACACACTGTTTTTTAAAGGAGAAAAGCTGACCACCAAAACCTCAAGGGTGATTCTGTAGCTAGCAATTAATACTGAAATGACAAAGAGTCTATTTTCAGATGCAAGAGCATGTACATAAGCTATTAAAGTAGAGTTGTTACATGTGAGAAGTTTAGAAATTATGTGTCAAAGGATACATAATTTATCTTTTAAAATAAAGGATAGAAGTGCCCTAACTTTTATTTACGGGAGTAATTTTATTCAAATGGTCATTCAAGTCAAAAGAATGTAGCTGTGTGGTCCCAAAAGCAATTCTAAGAATACAGGGAAATTCAGAGGAAATTGGAATAGTGAATTGTCGCTCAGAAGCAGCATCAGAAGAGGCCACATCTTTCTGGCCATTATCAAGAGTAATGCTACCTATGACAAGTTATAATTACAGAGAGTTACTTAACAACCTGGCTCATACAGAGGAATATTCTAGAGAGACACTTATTGCATGAATATGGGCTCTCTGTTCAGCCAGTGCCATGTATGCATAAGAAGCTGAAATAGTCTGTTATAAGCAAAAAAATTCTCTCCTGAATTACTAAAAACCAAAATAAAATAAGCAAGCAAACTAACGAAAACGGATGTAGCACATTAGGCAACAGTGACATATATCTAAAAGGACAATTTTTAAACAATCATGTTTGAATCACTTCTTAAGAACAAAGACACAAATGATGAGAAGGAAGACTAAAAAGTAAGTTATTTTATGCATACCAGATCTTCCAGATTGCAGTTGGCTCCATTCTTAATAAGCTCTTTCACTATTTCCAGGTTGCCTTGTTCAGCAGCTATCATCAGTGGAGTCTGGCCACACTAGAGAACACACAGGACAGGGAACTTACCAAGACAATGTGCTATCACTATATTAGCACTGCTAACACAAAGGTGTGCTTAATGTGTTTACTACAATTCTTTAATATACAAACAGCTTTGAAACTTTAGGTTTGATTTAATAATGATTTAAAAGTCACAGGCTGGATATATAGCCCAGTGGTAGGCACTTGCCTAGCATGCGCAAAGCCCTGTGTTCAATCACCAGCACAAAAAATACCAAAGACATATGAAATGTTACTTTTCCCCCCATAGCATTGGTAATCTGTTTTAGGCACTGTGAATTCATTCAGAATCAGTAAACATGTATAGCACTAGGATATGGAAAATAACTGCCACAGCATATACAAAGTCTCACCATACCTGTGGTAACCAAATTCTCCAATGATACAGACAATAAGATATAGAATGAGGCTTTAATCATACATATGTTTTATCTAAGATAAGACTAGAAGATAACAAAAACAAAACAGGTGCAACATATAGCAATATACATTTGTGGTTTGTCTTCCTTTATAGCCATAATGCATAAAACTACCACCCAGACTAGATCAATCAGTGTTTTCTCTCCTTCCAAAAACAAATGCAGAGCTGACCCCCTTGCCCTGGAAACAGCAGAAAAGGCCCGGGCAGCTGATTCTAAGGTAGGGCAATTCTAGCAGCAAGCCTCTTCTACTGCAAGCACAGCACAAACATTTTAATTTTCTGTATGTGCCAAGACATGAAATAGGCTAGGAAGCAACAGGTGAAGCAAACTATCAGTAAACCTCTAGTACTAGAGATACAAACATAAACAAAGGAATAAGAGGAAAATTCATGCCAAAAACTAAGTTCAATTATACAAATACTTATGTACCTACTTACTGTGTATTGATACGGAGAGAAATATCCATGATTTTACTTTTATGTATTTGTGTATGTATGCATGTCCTTGTGTGTATGTGCACACATGTGCAGGTGAATGTGCACATGGAAGTCAGAGGACAGCCTTAAATGACATTCTCAAAAACACCATCCACCTCATTGAAGACAGGGTCTCTCTTTGGCTTGGAACCCACCAATTTTGGCTAGACTGGCTGGCCAGCAAGTTCTAGAAATCCTTCTTTCTCTGCTTCTCTAATACTGGGATTACAAGTGTGTGTCACCATGCTCTGCATTTTTTAAATTACATTTTAAAATTATTTATTTATTTATTTAATCACTTATTTTGTGTGTGTGTGTGTGTGTGTGTGTGTGTGTGTGTGTCTGAGTATATGTATGTGCACACCATATGTGTGGGTGACCAGAGCCAGAAGAGGGTGTCAGATCTCCTGGAGCTGGAATTACAGGCAGTTGTGAGCTGCTTGATGTGGGTCCTAGGAATCAAACCTGGGTCCTCTGTAAGAGCAACAAGTGCTCTTTAATGCTGAGCCATCTCTCCATCCTCCTGTGTATGTATATATTTGTGTATACACATGCCACAGCATAAGGACAACTGGGGGTCCTTGGGATTGAACTCAAGTTGTAAGGCTTGATGGCCTTTACCTGCTAAGCCATCTTGCCAACACTTTTGCATGGGTTTTAGTGATCAAACTCGGTCCTCATGTTTGTAAGGCAAGTACTTTACTGAGTTATCTCCCCCAGACCCTGTGATTTTTTTTTTTTTTTAAAGCCAAATTGTCATTATCCCTTTGCTTCAAACTCATCAGTATTTTCCTCCCAATCTTTGAGAAAAGAACTCAAATCTTTACATTTAAGCCCTGGAGACAGAGACAAGGGCAGGTTCACCTCTCAACTCACCTGCATCATTCCCACACGACCTCAAGCATGTTCCCTTATCCTTACAGATTTCTTTTAACTCTTCTTTACCATATCAATCCTCATTTGTAATTATATATATATATATAATTTGTTGTTCTTTTTGAGACAGGGTCTCTCTGTAGCCCCAGTTGTCCTGGAACTCACTATGTAGACCAGGCTAGCCTTGAACTCACAGAGATTTGCCTGCCTCTGCCTCTTGGGCTGGGATAAAAGGCATGTGCCACCATGCCTGACATAATTATATTTTTAATCTGAATTTTTATCAGTTGTTAATGTGTGCTCTGTAAATTTTCTAAACTCCATAAGGGTAAACATGTCTATTTTGTTCACACATTTAGTGTTATACATGGAATGTAAGGATCAGTGACTACTACCCAGGTACTCAAATATTTGTTGAACAAATGAATATGCAAGCAAAGTCTCAAGGAATTTTAAATAGCTATTAGAAACACCATACAAACAAGCATGGGCTGGAGAGATGGCTCAGCAGTTAAGAGCACTGACTGCTACTGCAGAGGACATGGGTTCAATTCCCAGTCATGTGCAACTACAGTTCCAGAAGATTCAATGCCTTCTTCTGATCTCCATGGGCATTGCACAACACAGGTACACTTACACACATGCAGGCAATACACTCACATATAAAATAAAAATAATACAAGAAATATTTTTTAAAGAAACAACAGCCAGGCATAGTGGCACACACCTTTAATCCCAGTACTCAGGAGGCAGAGGCTCGAAGATCTCTGTGAGATCAAGGCCAGCCAGGGCTACATAGTGAATTCCAGGCCAGCTGGGGCTACAGGGAGACCCTGTCTCAAAAAACCAAAAAACCAAAAGAAATTAATAAATGAAATATTTTTTAAAAAAGAAACAACAGCCAGGCATGGTGGCACACACTTTTAATCCCAGTACTCAGGAGGCAGAGGCACACAGATTTCTGTGAGATCAAGGCCGGCCTGGTCTACATAGTAAGTTCCAGGCCATTTGGGGCTACAAGGATACCCTGCCTCAAAAAACCAAAAAACCAAAAGAAACAACATACAAACAATTATAATAACTTGTAAAATATAACAAATGGTATTAAAAGTATAATGCGAATAAAGAGTTAAACATAAATATCGGTTTAAACAAGGTAAAAAAAGTGAATTACATAAACACAAATTCTTTTTATTTTTTTAATATTTATTATTTTTATTTTTATGTGTACAAGTGTACTGCCTGCATGTATGTGAACGCACCTGTGTCATGCAATGCCGCGGACTTCGGATTCCCTGGAACTGGAGCTAAGAACAGCCTGTAGCCGCCTTGTGGGTGCTGGGAATCGAACCCGGGTCCTCTGCAAGAGCAGTCAGTGGTCTTAACCACTGAGCCATCTGTCCAACCCCATGACATTCTTTTTTAAATATTTATTATTTTTATTTTTTGTGTATGAGTGTATTGCCTATATGTATGTAAGTGCACCCATGTTGTGCAATGTCTGAGGCACTGGAGATCAAAAGAGGGCATCAGATCCCCTGGAACTGGAGTTATAGACTGTTGTTAACTACCATGTGGGTGCTGGGAACCAAACTGTATCTTATTTACAAGAGTTCTTGACTACTCATAATCAAAGAGGATATAACAATGTTCACTAACCAAAATATATTTTGTTCAACATAAAAACATTAAAAATATGGGCTTTATCATCTGACAAACTCTAAAGACTCAAAGAAAGGTAGCTTAACATAAAAAGACTGTAGTTCAAAATCAACTAGAGAAGCTTTCAAATTTGGGTCCTACCAGATGATACCTTGAATAAAAAACTAAGACATTTACCTAAAAATCAAGAAAAATACGGTATCATTCTTTACACAGCTGCTTACCAAATTAAATGGATTTAGATATATAAAACACATAATATACATAAAAATAGAAAAACCTAGATATATTATTGCAACACAAAATTTTCATATCAAGGTCAGGGAGATGGCTCAGTGGGTAAAGTGCCTGTAACACAAGCATGAGAACCTGAGCTTGGATCCTCAACTCATACTTAAAAGCCAGGAATGATGCAGTGCATATGACAGCACTCTGGAGATAGAAACAGGCAAATTCACATACAAAAATGGGCATACATATGCATATACACACGTACACACGTGTAAAAATCCACCTCACTCATCTTACCTATTGGCAAAAAATTATGCTTTATTGAAAATAAAGTTCTAAGAAACAGGACTTTTTTTCTTTTCCTCTTGTTTTTTTGACACAGGGTCTCCCTGTAGCCCCAGTTAGCCTCAAACTCATTATGTAGACTAGGCTGGCCTCAATCTCACAGAGATCCACCTGCCTCTGCCTTCCAAGTGCTGGGATTAAGGTGTATAGCACAAGACCTGATTTCAGGGATTTAAAAAAAGATTTATGCGGGGTGTGGTGGTGCACGCCTTTACTCCCAGCACTCGGGAGGGAGAGGCAGGCGGATCTCTGAGTTCAAGGCCAGCCTGGTCTACATAGTGAGTTCCAAGACAGCTGGGGCCATAGGGAGACCCTGTCTCCAAAAGATCAAAAAAAAAAAAAAAAAAGATTTATAAGATAAACACATACTTTTCTAGTTAAAAAGGTTATTAGTCATGCCAAATAATCTTCACTTTGACTACTCATGATGAAATAAGGACAACTTTTTTACTCATACAATTTAACAGAAAAACTACTGTAAATTAATGCTTACTGCTTAATGTTTATTAAGCAATAGCACATAACTTATTTAGCACTCTCTAAAGTCTATGGCATCTAAATCCCAAGGTGAATCAAATGAACAACCCAGGAAGATTTAAGGCTTCACTGAAAATGTATTTAGTTCCTAATTTTGTCTGGTGAATTTATTTTTAGGAAGACAGGGTCTTAAATCCTCTATAACACTTCCTAGAAGCACTTTGGTTTTTAGGATCAAACTTCTTGAATGCTTATTTCTTTATCAGAGAAAAAAGGCCAATCATAAACCTAAATTCAATATTCAATTATATATGTAAGCTAAAAAGTACCTCTAAAACACAGAATCTGAAATACTTTTAACAAGAAGTAGCATCATAAACACAGTCCACTTTGGTATAAGAAAACCCCCTATCTCTCACCTACCTTCATCCTTAGCACAGCACTGTGCAGAGTAAGCAGTCAGCAAATGCTTGTGAGATTTTTAGATTCAGCCTTACCTCATTTCTTTCATCTACATCTTTGCATTTTTCAAGAAGAGCTTTCAAAGCAGGAATATTTTCTTCTTCCACATAATTTATTACACTCTGTGATATCAGAACTGACATCTTCACAGGACTCTACAGATAACTTTATTTCACCTGTTAAAAATAAATCAGACAAAATGTATATATTTCTGGTTAGAAATAAACTAAAAATTGATTAGACATATTTCAGTTTTAACCTTAAGTGTGTACAAAGGCACTTCCAGTGGTAGACATAAAAACAAGCTCCCATACCTCCACTGTCAAAATGCTGACAAGATGACCTTTCCCAGACTCTGGACTCATCTCAAACTCAATTCACCCCAAATCCAAACAAGATCTATCCCCATGCCTTGATCATCATCAGCCCAAATACAAAGAAGTGTTCCTCTGCTCCTATCACTGTCTCCATCATGATCATACACACACGGTAGCTCCAGCTCCATCCTTTCAGAGCCCAGAACCTTGGGATTACCCATAATTTAGCCCTTCTTCTATGTTGAATTTACAAGCAAGAGCTTCTAGCTCTATCTACAAAATGTATTCCATATCGTGACAGTTGCTTTTAATGGCAAACTGCCACAAATTAGACTTGCCTGAGTAGGAGACCTCAATTGAAGAGTTGTCCCGATTGCTTTAATTGATATGGGAAGATCGATATATGGGCAGTACCTTCTAGTAGCAGCCCAGATAAAAAGGGGCATGGCAGAAGAAGATTATCTGCCTTTGCCTTTTTTGGCCTTCCCTCTCACCTCTGAGTTGATTTACCTTGTTGTTGCTGCTGCTGCTGCTGCTCCCAAAGCTGACTTCAGAGCCAGTATTTCTAGGCTTCTATCATTTACTGAGGAACAGTGACTCTCCAGGAACCCTCAGGGTTTTCGGTATCAAATTGGGATTGCTGAGACACCCAGCCCTATGGACCGCCTCCCCACTGGGGTCCCAGCCTCTCCAGTGTGAGACAGCCACAGTGGGACTCTTTCAACTGCCTAGGCACTCAGCCTCAAGGAATGCATAACTGCCAAGTTCCCAGCCTCTCAGGTGTGATTTAGCTGTTGTTATCATTTTGAAGTAAAGCTGATTAGTAAATTCATTATATATATATATATATATATATATATATATACATATACATAGTCAGTTCTATTCCTCCTCAGAACCCTGACTAATACACACATCTATTGCTCACTGCTTCTATCACTGACTGGTCCAGTGGAAGCCATCGTGACTTCTCAGCTGATCTCATAGCTTCCTAACTGGTCTCCCTGCTTCTACTCTGCCTTCCCTACCCTGTCTACAATGCATTCACAGTTATCTTCTTAAAAAAACTAGCAGAGACTGCAGGAGTATAGTGTGGAAGGAAATGGGGTGCTGGTCAAGAGTACAAAGTTTTAGGTAAATAAGGATAATAGGTTCTGGTAACCTATATCTATGATCTATTAGTAACATTGCATTTTTTCAAAATCTCTAAGTAAGATTTTAAATGTTCTCACCACAAAGAAATAATAGGGATGAGAAGTGATAAACACGTTATTTACCCTGATTCGATCATTCCATAATGTATACATGCATGGAAACATGAGACTATAACCAATAAATATATATAGTTAGTATTTATCAAAAATACAAAGAAACACTTGGGCATGCATCAGAATCACTGGGAGAGTTTAGAACATAGATCCCTGGTCTTCCTCTCAGATTCTGACTCACTGGGTCTGGATGGGATCCCTGAATCTGCATCTTTGACTAGCATGCAGATGACTGTCACTGTTACTGAAGTATACACTGGGAGCCATACTGAGTCTAACTGCATCCTCTTTTGTTCAAAGTTCCCCAATGGCTTTCTGAAGAACAGAAAAATCAAGTTTTGTTTTGTTTTGTTTTTTTAATCTCAGCAGAGGTCTGTAAGTGATGTGGCTTCTCACTACTGTAACACTTTGGACTACTTCTACAAATCTCCCTCTGTTCTTTTACTGTACGATCATGTACCATCCCACTCAGGTATCAATGCTCTGCTTCTGTCCACTAAATTTCTCTTCAACAGACATGCACATAGCTTGTCCCTCACTTCCTGCAGATCATACTATTAGAAAATGTAGCCTGACATGGGACATAATAACCTTACATCGGTCAACACAGCATTGCACTCCTGCCAACTTGGTCTGCTTTATTGTTCACCACCACTTTCTACCATTAGGAAACTATATTGTTTGCTTACAGTCCATAATTAGAAGGTAAGTTCTAAAAAAGTAGAAATTTGGAAGGCATCTAGAGGAAGTGGGAGAGGGAAATTAGAGGTGGGTATGATCCAGATACATTGCATACATGCATGAAATTGTCAAAGAATAAATAGAAGAACTTTAATTTTTTTTTTAATCTTATGTGTACGAGTGTTTTGCCTGCATGTATGTAAGAAACACCCATGAAAGCAATGCCTGAAGAGGCCAGAAGGGGGTTTCAGATCCCCTATAATTGAAATGAAGGATAGTTGTTAACCAACATGTAGGTGCTAGGAACCAAACCTGGGCCCTCTGCAAGAGCAGTCACTGCACTTAACTGCCGAGCCATCTCTCCAACTCCCATAAAAAAATCTTTAAAAAAAATTTTTAATCCCAGCACTTGGAAGGCCAAGGCAGGGATCTCTGTGAGTTTGAAGCTAGCCTGGTCTATATAGTGAGTTCCAGGTCACCCACGTTTACACAGTGAGACCCTGTCTAGAAGAAAAAAACAGCGAAAATATTTTGAGGCAGGATCTCACTGTATAACCCTGACTAGCCTCAAACTCAGAGATCCACCTGCCTGTCTTCCAAGCACTACGATTAAAGGTATAAATTACCATGCCCACCTTTAAAAATATTTTAGGCAGAAATTATAACCTATTCAATGAGATATCCAAATGCAAACAATAAATGTCAATCCTTACTTTGTACAATATACAGATTCTAACTCAAAACTAACCTAAATTTAATACCTAAAGCACAAAACTTCTACAAGAAAACATACTATCTTTATAACCTTGGATTTAGAAAGACTCCTTTGATACTAAAAGTATGGTCTATTTAAAAAAAAAGGAGAAATCTGAGAGATTGTAGTTTATCAAAATAAAAACTTCACCTCTGCTAAAAGAATATAGTTGCTTCTTCCAATCTATTTTGGAGCAGATTCTTTGTTTATTTTGTTTGTTTGGTTGGTTTTTGGTTGGCTAGTTGGTTTATTTAGTTTTTGTTTCTATTTTTGAGACAGGGTCTTACTATATATTTCAGGCTGAACTCAAACTGCAGATCCTCCTGCTTCTGCCACCCAATGACAGGACTAAATATGTGCCATTACGTCTAGTTGGTGACTCGGGTCACACAGGTTCCAAATAGAAAGGAATTACATTTCTGGGTTGACTATGCCAGTGCCTCCCTCCCTCACACAGGATTTAGAAGATGGCATTCAGAACTTTTGAGCTGATAAGACTTAAATGAGAGTTTGCTATGAATTGATGTTGTAATGACTTGAGACTTTTGGGGTCCTTAGGATAGGGTGAATGTTTTCCATGTGGGAAGAAAATCTATCTTTGGGGCCAGTGGGCAGAAGGTATTGCACTGTATGATTCCATGCAAATATGACCCTCTGGAACCAGAAAACTACAGGGACAGAACAGGACAGAAACACATCAGGTATTGCCAGGGCCTAAGATAAAAGATGAGATGACTATAAAAGAGTGCAAGAGAATTGGAGAGTTGATGGATATTCTCCACTTTGATTATACTCGTAGTTAACCTATGTCAAAATTCAAAACCATACCCTAAAAGGGGTGAATTTTATAACATGTAAATTAAATATACATAAATATGCCTTACTTTTTAAAGGAATTTGATCCAATAGCTTCACCCTTAGGAACCAATTCTAAAACCAGAAAAAAACATGGACAATGATTTTTAAGTATCACATAACTTTATTCACAAGAACAAAAAACTTACGAGTAGGGGCTAGAGAGATGGCTCAGTGGTTAAGAGCGCTTACTACTCTTGCAGGTGGTTCGTAACTGCCTGTAATTCCAGTTTCCAGGGGATCTGTTACCCTCTGGCCTCCAAAGGCACCTGCATGCACATGGTGAATATAAACTCAGACACATAAACATAAATAACTTAATAAATCTTAAAAAAAAACTACATTGCCAGGCATGGTGGTATACAGCTCTAATCCCAAAACTCAGGAGGCAGAGGCAGGCAAATCTCTGTGAGTTCAAGGCCAGCCTGGTCAACATATCGAGTTCCAGACCAGGTTAGAGTAAGTACATAGTGAGAACTGGTTAAAAAAAACAAAAAACCTAGGCATATTAAATTGTGACAATTTTACATAGTGCAATGACAGACAGTTATCAAATGTTTCCAAAACCTGTACTGAGAGAAACATGCTCATGCTATATGAAGGGCCGTCTCTGTTCTGGTACTAATTTTCCTAGGCCTGGGTAGCAATCTTTGGTGCGTCCTCAGAGAAACCAGAGTGATCCTTCTAAATTTAGTCTTCTCATGGTCATTCTGTGCTCAACATTCCCCCACCTCAGCTGTCTTTTCGCTCAAAATGAAATACCAAGTCCTTGGTCACGGCCTACAAGGCTCTGCTTGACCTACTCCACCCCATGTCCACTTCCCTGAGCTCATCTCCTATCATCCTCTACTTCACTCTGCTGGCCATCTACAATTTCTGCACAAATGTCACCTGATCAGAGCATCCCCTGAAACTAAATATAAAAAAGCCATCACCTCCCACTACTATCATTCCCTATTCCATACACAGTCCTACTTTATTCTAGATAGCACTTAGCATGATTCAACATACCATTTACTTATTTCATCTACTCTCCCTATTCCAAACAAGAGATTGATCAGTAAGAATGAGAACTCTGCTCACTACTCAATCTCTCTTTCACAGTTGGAGAAGTACCTGGCAGACAGCAAAACCCAGTATTTGTAGAATCATGTGCTTACCCAAGCTCATCTACCTGGAATGCCATTATTTATACTCCCAGTAAGCCAAAATACATCCTGCATACAAGTGAGACCTACCACTAGAAAGTCCACAGTGGTTTATATCTGTATCTCTTAAAGCTTAAAGACAGTCTCTCCTTTGTTATGCCTCCAGAATCTATTACAGGCCTAGAACAAGCAGAATCTCAAGAGAGGTGTCAAATTGAGTAACTGCATAGATATATGGAGGATGACTCTTCTGAAGGACTTTGTCTGGAGACAGCACCCACCTCCATCAATCATAATCAAGGTTATGTAAATAATCCATGCATCCGATATTCAAAAAGGTAAGTGGGCCAGTCCTGAATTAAAATTTAAAACCAGCGACTAGAGGACTGGAGAGATGGCTCAGAAGTTAAGTGCAATTACTGCTCTTCCAGAGGACCCAAGTTCAGTTCCCAGAACCCATGTCAGACAGCTCACAACCACCTGTAATTCTAGCTCCCTCTTCTGAACCTCTGAGGGTGCCTGTACTCATATGTATATACCCACACACAGACATACATGCATATACAAAATGAAAAATAACAAATCTGTTAAAAAGTGTGTAAGTCATTACGGGCCATGTGTAAAACAACAGTTTAGAAGCAGTCAGTTAGTTACAAGAGAGAGAACTCAACAGATGAACACAGAAAGCCTCTTCCTAAATAAGAGAATCAATATGGCCCCTAAGAAAGATACAGAACATAGAGCTATCCAGAATCCTGACCTCTAATTCAGCCCTATAGGTCTCTCCTTTTCCTTGAGGTTCTCTATTCATGCCTTCTAAACAGCCCTAAAACAGGAGTTCATACAGTGAAGAAACTGACATTCTTGAGCAAAGGCTAGAATAGGGGATGGCATGCTCCTTGAGGAGTGTAGAAAATTTAATCTCCTGGCAGTGTATGCACAACCCAGACTAGAAAAACAAAGAATCAGAACTCTAGATACAAGTCAGGGACCAGGCAGTAAGAATGGGAAAAAAACAAAGGAAAACATTAACTTCAACCACATAAACCCCCCAAATTTGAGCAAAATACCCAGAGGAGATATTCTAGATGGAAAAAATAAACCATGTGACTGACTGGAAAAGGGAAAAAACAAAAAAAATAGGCCAAAGATGACTAGATGCCACATGCATGTGACTGGAAGTTAGAGTTGCCATGGATATGCTAGGAGGAAGAAAGGCAGCAGGGACTTTTTTTTTACATGTTCCTGGCCCTCCCCACCGGCCCTCCCCATTACCCAGCCTGGGTATTGACTGGGGCTGTGGGGATGCTCTGAACAGGCTGAATGTGTAAGTCCTCTCAAAATGCTGGATTAGAGAAATGAAAAATGTGGAAATCATGAGATTCCAATGAGAAGCTTGCAAATCATCCAGAGTGTTTAAAAGGATATTCAGAGGCAAGCGGATCTCTGTGAGCTCAAGGCCAGCCTGGTCTACATAGTGAGTTCCAGGGCAGCTGGGGCTACAGGGAGACCCTGTCTCGAAAAGACCAAAAAAAAAGGATATTCAAACCTGTGTGCATCAAAATTATTTGCAAAGCTTCTCAAATAGGGCATACTGTCTCCTCCAAAGAATCCCATTTTGGTAGATCTGTGGTGGGGCCCAGACACTGAGATTTTATTAAGCACCCCAAAATGATACTGATATAATCGTCCATCCTAGCTAAAGCTAGAGAACAAAGAACACACCTTGCCACAGCATTTTTCAGCCTTGGCTCTGCACACCCAACTGCCCTTTTAAGAAAAAGCAGGTACCTTTTTCCTTTAATGCAGATGTCTGCTTTTCGATGTTGTCAATATGTGAGCAGGGACTAACATGAGAATCACCCCCAAGAAGTCCTTCCTGAGCCACACCCCAGGTCAAATAAATGAGAATCTCTGAAAGCCAAAAAAAGCTGCATGTTTAACAAGCACCTCTAGGGAGCAGAAAATAATCGTCTTTGACTTAAACCTTTCTACATATCAAGAAAAATACCTTAAAAACATATATAGCTTCTAACACTGCTGGCTGACAACAAAAACATAGGCGCGTTCTCAGCAAGGGTCCGTCAGGATTTTACAAGGCGGTTAAAGGTCTGCACAGGACAATGGAGCAATGGAGTCCAACAGCAAAGCCAGGGAGAAAACAATAACTCCTCCCCCACGCAAGGCCAGGAAAAGAAACGCGGAGCGTCGGCCTCCGCCGCACCTGCTCCACGGATTGTCGAGTGGTGGGTGTGCCAGCCAAGAGAACAACTGTCCCGGAGGAACCCTCTCCGGCCGCGGCTTCGCCTGACGCGGACTACGCAACAGAGACGTCAGGGCGAAGGCCTCCAGAGCCCCTCAGCAGGCGACTCCGGGAACGCTGGGCCGAGTGCCCAGAGGTCCGCGCTCCGACCGCGCCCACCTCCCCTCCAGGCCCTTTCTCCCGCGCTGGCGCCGCCACCGCGTCCAGCCCGCGGCCTCGGCCCCGACTCTCCGCACCGGCCCTCGCATCCCCCGCCCTCGCAGCGCCCGCCCCTCAGCTTCCCGGCCCTTCCACACAGGCTAGCGCGCCGGGTCCCGATCCCCGACACCCCGACACCCCGACGCGGGCGTCCGTCCTCTCCTCACCTATCACCGCTCCTCACAGGCCCGCCCACGACTCTCCCCCAGGCTCAGGTCCTCTCCTCAGCCTCCTCGGCCCCTCCTCAGTCCGCCGCCCCGCAGAACCCCGCCGTCGCACTGACCGTGTCAAGGCCAAGGACCGCGCCCTTGGCTCGGCAGAACTGGCCCACTTCAGACCCTGTCAGAGGGCAGGACGCACCGACAGCGCCGCTTTCGGAGCGTCACCCTCACCACCACACCCGGCTGCCATTTTCCTTTGGCCCAGGAACCGACAGATCACGTGGACGCGCGCTGGGCGGGGCTTCGTGGCCACGCCTCTCAGGAGGCGTGACGTGAGAGTGGCAAGTGCTGAAGGGGCTTGGTTAGGGTGAATGGGCTTGCCTTGCGGCCCTCTGCGCCTTCTTTAAATAAATGGAGTTTGTTTGTTTGTTTGTTTGTTTGTTTTTGTTTGTTTGTTTGTTTGTGTTGGATTCAGGGTTTTTGTTTTATTTTGTTTTGTTTTTTGAGATAGCGTCATGTAGCCCACGCAGGCCTCAAACTCACTATGTAGCCAAGGATGACCTTGAGCTCCTGATGCTCCTGTCTCCATCTTCCTAATTGCTGGGATTATAGACTTGTTCCACTACACCCAGCTAAATGAGTGAATTTTTCAAAAATGCCCCAGGCAATACTTTTCCCTGTCACTCCTCTTATTAAAGTGAATTTATAACGCCTATCTAGCATTATAAACAGTCATATTCAGAGAAATAAACCACAATTACATTGGGAAACACTGCCCATTCGTTGCAAATGAAGGCAGCTCCATTCCTTCTGGTTCCTGTGACTTACACTCTTGGTCATCCTCAGTGTGCACTGCCTTCCCTGACCTCCCTAGCCTTCCTTCTGTCCTCCTCATCCTCCAGTCCTCCAATGTCCCACCATCTCCCCCAGGACTCCTTCTCCCCACCTTGCCAGGTCACTGAATGTCATGGACAGCTTTCTGCCAATCTCTGCTGCATACCATTAGCAATGCCCTCCTGGCAATGCTTCCTTCATTGGCCCTTGTGACTCTACTGCCTAGATTTCCTCCCATTCCTGCTGCTCCTCAGGTTCTACTTCCCTTAATTAGTTCACAGTTCCAGAGTTTTATCCAATGTCAGGCTCATCCCCCTTCCCATGAAATATGACTGATCACATACCTACTCTCAGGGAACCTGGCTCCCTCCTGGTCCTCTGGGAAGTTAGAAGTTACCTCATGTATCTCCCTTCCCCTGTCTTGTCTACCTAGACCATCAACTGACTGTAACTGTGTTTGTTCATTCCCCTATTATTTAAAGACATGGGAAACTCCCCCAAAGGAATGCCTAGTCTCCCAGCTCCTCTCCCCTCAGCACACAAAGCATTTCTCCACCAGTTTGATAGCTCACATCACTTGTTTCCTTAAATTCTTTAGTAGCCTTCCACTTCCATGGAGCCCATTCCCCACTGTACTCAGTAAGGAAGGCTTTTGATGGGCTTATCCCTACAGACTTTGCCACTGCTCTGTCTGCCTTCTGCCACTCTACTCCTAACACTAGCCAGTGGGTTTGTAGATATGAAAGGGATGTGCAGACAATGTATCAGAGGCTAGGTGCAAAGTCACTGAAGGGAGAGGTTTCATTAAAACAGGGTTTTTGTGGCAGAGAAAGGCCTGCCCCTTGGGAACTACATTTGTGAGAGAGGCTGCCTAGACAGTCCTAACCCCACCTTTCCAGCCCACTGCTTGCACAAGCCTCCCTGCTCTTCTACCCAGTAACTGAAACTTCAGCGGTGGAGTTAGTGAGTTACTGGAACTGTCTTCCACAAGCCAAAGAATTGGCTTTAGACAAGTCCAGGCTCATGCCTACACAGAGTTCTGCCCCCAAGAATGAGCCAGACTGGGTGGCCAGTCCAACCCAATCCCTAGCCTTTGAAGACAAGAATACATCACTAAGCAAGATGGACAGAAGAGAGAAGTGGTAGGTTCCCCAAGTTAAGGGATCCAAGCACTGCAGAACCATACTGGGAATTCTCAGTGAAGAATTTGGCAAAGCAGGTCTCAGCTGCTGACACAGACCCTCCTCCTTGAACTTTCTGCCTCTCCCCAGTACAAATCTCTGGGGACATTCAGTGAGAAAGTCTTTCTTCCTTGGGACTATTTTGGAAAGCAGGCTAGTTTGATTTGGAATTTCATTAGGAATAGGCTTCACTTTAGTTCACACTTTAATGGCAGGTGACAGGAGGGTCAGATGCAAGGAGGCAAGGTGGGCTAGGTAAGAAGAGGCATAGAATACATCTATCAGCCCCTGCCCCAGGGCAGGTCTGAACTGGGAAAGAAAAAAACTCTAAGCTCATATTCTTTTATTATATGCATCAGGCATTTCAGCACTAGCATGAGAATTTTAATCACTTTAAAAATGACTAAATAACATTTTATAAAAGTGAGAAAATAAAAAAAGTATGAAAAGGATGAGAGTTACTCAAAAATGCCATGGGGTGGGAAGAAGGAAGGAGGGAGTGTTTGCAGGAGCAGTCCTGGGGGTAGGGGAGGGGATGGACTTGCTTTACAAGCTCCTATACTCTATCTTCTGCCTCAGAGAATTGTTATTCTGATGAAGCTCTATGGTAACAACTATTTTCCCACTCCTGCCCCATGCTACTGGTTCTTCCCATACTTAAGGATGCTCACACTCCTATCTTGCAACATGGAGGGACTAGAGCATATGACTGAAATATTTCCTTCTCAGTTTTGTCTCAGAGACGTGGGTATTTCTGTAGTCTTTGGTCTGTGGTTTATATTGCTTGCCTAAATCCTTCCCATAAACGCACCTTAAGGGCTTTGTTCTGGAATCACTCAAGACCCCGAGACTCTGAATCACTGACTTAGAGAGTCTGGCTTCTCGACTTGTCATGTGGTTTTATGTAGAAGGAAAAATAGGAATTATATTTCCATTCCTCACCACTCTCCCCATCAAAGCTGCAATTTAAATGCTCTTTCATCTTTTTCCACAGCATCAGCATACTGGAATGATTACTTCAGCAGTCCAGTCTTTCATGACTTCAATTCCATTGTCTGTCATAGGAATCTCACAATGTTTTGCACATCATATGGTTTTAAAATTTGTTTTTCTTGTGGTTGGAGAGGTGGCTGTATTTAAGCTTGTTTACTGCTTCTTCAAGGACCTGATTTTGGTTCCCAGCACTCATCAGGCAGCTCACAACCACCTGTAACTCAGGCTCCAGGGGATCTGATGCCCTCTTCTGGCCTCAGAGAACACTTGCACTCATGTGTGCATACTCACACACAGACACACACATATACATAATAATTTTTTAATATTAAAAGTTATTCTTCTTGTTTGGTATGTTGGCTCATACCTGTAATTCTAACACTCGGAAGGCTGAAGCAGGAGGATTACTGTGAGTTTGAGGCCAGCCTGATGTTTGTAATGAGTCTGAAGCCATCCTGGACTACAAAGTTTTTCTTTTATAATTATAAAATGAATGTGTTCATTAAAAAGAACTTGGAAAATACATAAAAATTTGAGTGATAACCTCCCTTATCTCACCACTTGGAATTCTCTGACTTCTTAAGCAGACATTTGAGTTGATCCACTCATCCTCTAGACACTTAGCATTGAGAAGAGGACTATTAGGGATTGTGATGCTTGTCAGTTTGACAGGATCTAGAATCGCCCAGGACACAAATTTCTGGGCATGTCTTTGAGGGAGTTTCTAGATTGGGTTAATTGATTTGAAAGCCCTATCCTAGATGTGGGTGGCACCATTCCATGGACTGGGATCCTGGACTGAATAAAAAAGGAGAAATCAAGTTAAGCACCAGCATTCATCTGTCTCTGCTTCCTGACTACAAATGCAATGTGGTCAATTGCCTGCAGCTCCTAATTTCCCTGCCCTAATGGACTGTACCCTCCAATTGTGAACTGAAATAAACCCTTCCTCCCTTAAAAGTTGTCTTTGTCAGGTATTTTGCTGCAGCAAGAACAAAAGTAACTAATATAGGGATGCTGTGGTGATGTTACTGTTAGCCTTCATGAGTGATGGCTGTTGTGTTATTGTGACAAAATATCTGACATAAACAACTTAAGAGGAAGGATTTGATTCATAGATTGGGGGGGGGTTCAGTCTGTGGTGACCTGGCCCTATGTGTTTAGGCAGAACAACATGGTATTGGTAGTGAATGGCAGAGGCTGTCCTTCACTTAACAGACAAGAAGCAGAGAGAGGGGAATACAGAAAGAAACCAGGGTAAGGCATAGCCCACAGGGACACACCTGCCTTCTCCAATGGGGCCCCAGCTTCTACCTTCCACCCCTTCCAATAATACCATTGTAGTATTATTCCATCAAGGGATTAAGGTCAGAACCCTCCTGAGCTAACCCTCCCTGGAGATATCCAGAGGAGTGCTTGACTAATCCAGGCCTTTCTTACCTGCACAGTTGTGGATATCATTTCTCTTGATACCGTTCTCGGTCCTTCTCTGACCCATTTTATCTGTATGGTATTATACTTTATAAAAAAATTGTAATATGGGGGTTTGAGAGGTGGCTCAGGAGTTGAGAGCTTTCTACTCTTTCAGATGTTTGGTTTCCAGCACCTACATCAAGTGGCTCACAACTGCCTCTACATCCAACTTCAGATAATTCAACATCCTCTTTTGGTATGAGGGCACTCACATACACATGCATGTGGGCATACACACAGACACAGACACAGACACACACACACACACACAAATTTAAAAATTTGTAATATGTTGTGACATTTTTGTATGTTAAAAATACTCTTATGGCTCAGCAGTTAAGAACACTGGATGTTCTTGCAGAAGACCCAGGTTCGAATCCCAGCACCCACGTGGCAGCTAGCAACTGTCCGTAACTCCAATTCCAGGGGATCTGATAGCCTGTTCTGTCCTCCACGGGCATTGAACAACATGGGTGCACTTACCTACATGCAGGCAATATACGTATACACATAAAATAAAATACAATAAATAAATTTTTAAAAATGCTCTTAGGTAGCTGGGCACAAGCCTTTAATTCCAGTACTTGGGAGGCAGAGACAGGTGGATCTCTCTATGAGTTCAAGGCCAGCCTGGTCTACATAGCAAGTTCAGGCCAGCTGGGGCTACAGGGAGACCCTGTCTCAAAAAGGCAAAAAACAAACAAACAAACAAACAAACAAACAAACAAACAAAAACTTTGTGAATTTATATCCTGATGTAACTGCAGGAGCCAGGAAAATGGAAAAGAACCATGGAAGTAAG